TGCTCCTGGCTCTTGTGCAGGGTGGCAACCTCACTCTTTGTGTGTGTGGTGTGGGACTTGAATGCGTGGCTGATGGAAGAGCTGGGTGTGTGTCTGTCAAAGGAGGGCTTGAGGATTTAGCTGGCCGTGTATTAAGTAGCCTGCTGCTTGGGAGGCACATAATCCCGCTGCACTGGTGTGTTTCCATGTCATTGAGCTGGGAACGGGCCTTGCAAGACAATACCGACTTGAACGCTGAAGGCCCCTTTCAGCACATTGAATGGGGAGATCACACAGTGAAAACGACGCACAAGACTCATGTACAAATAGTCCTTGACTTACAACCGTTCATTTAGTGGCTGTTCAGAGTTACAACGGCCCTGAAAAAAGTGGCTGATGTGCATTTTTCACAGTTACAACTTTTTCAGCATCCCCATAGTCACATGATCAAAATTCAGATGCTTGACAAACTGGTTCTTACTTTCGACCGTTGCCGTGTCCCGGGGTCACATGATCCCCTTTTGTGACCTTCTGACGAGCAAAGTCAGTGGGGAAGCCCAGGTTCAATTAACAACCGTATTACTAGTTTAACAACTGCGGTGATTCATTTCACACACGTGGCAAGAAAAGTTGTAAAAAATGGAACAAAATTCACTGAACAAATTTCTCATTTAGCAACATAAATTCTGGGCTCAATTGTGGTGGTAAGTCGAGGACTACTTATAATTGAAAGTGGCTGGAGAAGCAGGATATAGTCAAAAGGAGGGCTCCGTTCTGCAGATTGTGTACAATTGGAAGAGTTTGGGAAGGCAGTTCTTCTAAGGTAGCTAAATCTCCCTCCCTCCCTCCCTCCCTCCCTCCCTCCCTCCTTCCTTCCTTCCTTCCTTCCTTCCTTCCTTCCTTCCTTCCTTCCTTCCTTCCTTCTTTGCAATTTCATAAATGAAACTACCAAAAAATGATCCTGTCCGAATCCAAGTCCTTGCTCCAGATTTGTGCTTTGTGGGATTTTAAGTCAAGGTTTGTATGCATATTTTATGTTTCAGTTGGTTGCGAGGGGGGGGGGACTCCTTATAGTGGTTGGATTATTTCCTTGAGAGCAGCAGCACTGAGTCACATTCCACAGCAATGCCTGCTATTCGGGAGACAAGCTCATTTCCTTCCTTTTTGTAGGAGTTAGGGTTTTAGCTAAGATGAGCCTCTGCTTCTGAAAGTGGCTCTCAGAGTCTAGCTGGTCCAGGGGTGAGGGCCTAGTGAAGGCGAGGTATTCAGTAAACAGTAAGCTTTTCAGAAATGAAAATAATCCTGGGCTTTTATTTGGATACTTGAGTTGGAGGTTGACCTTAAATTAACTCTAACTGATCCCACGACATCAGACCATAACATATAACAGTGACTTTCCCAGCCAAACCCCACAGATGTCCAGATACAGCTCATGTAAACGTGTTCTCTTTGTTATGGGACCCCTCTGCTATCTCCTTCACACCTGCTAGAATGTCCTTGAAAGGTTTCCAGACTGCTGACTTTCAGCAAGCCTTTCTCTAACTCCGGGATTCCCAACCTTAGCAATTTGAAGACTTGTGGACTTCAACTCCCAGAATTCCCCAGCCAGCCATGTTGGCTGGGGAATTCTGGGTGTTGAAGTCCACAGGTCTTAAAGTTGCCAAGGTTGGGGACTCCTGCTCTAACTAACCCATTTGAAAGCAACACCTCCCTCCCCCCTTATTCTAACGGCAAGATTAAAACAGGGAGACACGTAGCTGCCAAATTTTCACTCTTGACAATATACATACATACATATACACCATACAGTATATATACACATACATATATACATACATATACATATACATAATATGTGTATACGCACACATATACACATATATAGTCCACAGTCCATTTTGAATACATAGTGAATACATATGAGTCAAGGGGGCGCAGCAGTTCGAGTGCAGTCCTGCAGGCCACTTTAGCTGACTGTGTTCAGCAGGTCAGTGGTTCAAATCTCACCGGCTCAAGGTTGACTCAGCCTTCCATCCTTCCGGGGTAGGTAAAATGAGGACCCAGATTGTTGGGGCAATGTAAATATATATATATATATATATATATATATATATATATATATATATATATATATATATATATACACACACACACACACACACACACATACATACACATTGCTTACCGGTGTACACCGCTTAGAGAGTGCTTGCATATGTATATGTTTTCTGAGGTTTTCGCGGGTATCTGTATGTAGGTCTTTGGTTGTTCGGGTTTTCTCCCACGTAAAATTGGAAGTGTCTTGGCGACGTTTCGACGAAGTCCCATTCGTCATCTTCAGGCTGGTGCTTTCAGCTTCGTGCCTGAAGATGACGAATGGGACTTCGTCGAAACGTCGCCAAGACACTTCCAATTTTACGTGGGAGAAAACCCGAACAACCAAAGACCTATATATATATATATATATATATATATATATATATATATATATATATACACACACACACACACACACACACACACACACACACACACACACACATTGCTTACTGGTGTACACCGCTTAGAGAGTGCTTGCACTTAAAGCGGTATATAAGTCTCACAAATAAATAAATAAATAAATACATAGTGGAAAAAAGAGTTGAGGGGTTTTATGATTTTTATGAGGGGCTTAGCCCGAATCCTGTAGACTTTGGAAACACAAGACCCCCAGTAAGGAGTTTAGATAAAAACTTGCAGAAGGAGGTGGGAGAGTAACTGTAATAGGATCTATTAAATAAGTCAAGGAAAAGCATTAGCTGATAAGTTTTGTTACATCTGCCATAAAGCTCAGAGTCTGGAATGAGCAAAATGAATTTGAACTCTGAGAGTGGAAACGCAAGTTCAATGCGCTAGATCTCACAGGGACGTTGGGATAATTTCCACACTGCATTGGCTATAGCAGCTGAAGGAGACAGGAAGCCATAGATACGTACTCTATCTGCACCTGCTTAGAAATTAAAGTGAGTTAATTTAGTAAAAGTGTGGAAAACATTGGCGTTAAAATCAAGAGAGAAACAAGAACAATTTCTGTACTATTTATGCCGTTTACCATAAATCAAGGCGATGCTGCATTCCAAAGCAAAAAAAACGGCAAATGGGGCTATTAGAATGAAGAAGGATTTTAATTGCTCCAACCTCTCTTGGAAGACAAACTGAACAAACTGAACTTTCAGGAAACGCCTCACTTCTCTGGCTGACAATGCTGGCCTTCAAGCAGAAAAGGGAAGCAGAAAAGTATTAACTGTCACTGGTTTGATACTAACTGAAGAGTAAAATTTAGTAAATGATATGGAAGAAAGCTAGGATTGAGGCTTAACCAAAATGTGTGTGTGTGCGTGTGTGTGTGTGTGTAGACTGGCTAATTCAGAGACATTTGTCACTTCCTCATGCAACTCTTTCTCCACTTGACCTCAACGTTGTCTTCATTGACCAGAGCAGCTTTTGGAGGCTGGGGGAGGGGGGCAGTTTTTCCACCTTTATTTGCAAATACTTATGGGCAAACCAAGTTTTTTGAGGCTAAATTGGCAACATTCTGTATAGTAAATATATTGTTGAAAACAATGTTCACGAGGTGGCAGCCTTTGGTTACCAAATAATAATGAAAATAAAATTGGACTTTAATTACCCATTGGTTTCATGGAAGGATTACTTTGCTAAAAAGTCATCTTGTTGGACCCTTTCTGTGTGCGCCTGGATGATGCTTCTCCTTTTCTTCTCATCTCCCCCTGCATTATGTTCCTGTCAAGTAGAATCAGATAGAGCTGGAAGGGACCTTGGAGGTCTACTAGTCCAACCCCCTACTCAAGCAGGAGAGCCTAGGCCAGTGATGGCGAACCTTTTAGAGACCGAGTGCCCAAACTGCAACCCAAAACCCACTTATTTATCACCGGGTGCCAGGTGGGCGTGGCCCCTGGATGGGCATGGCTGTGGTGGTCATGGCAGATTGGGTGGGAGTGGCCAACGTGGGCGTGATCACCTCAATGCTGCTCGTGGGGAGGGAAACCTGTGGGGGGCAGGCAGGGTTGGGGGAGATCCAGGGGGCTCTGGCAGGTGGGGCGGTGGTCCTGCGGGGTGAGGAGAAGCAGGGCGGGAGTGCCACTGTCACAGGGCAAGAAGGGGCAGGGGCCGGGGCGGCAGCTGCCTGACACCATCGGCCCCTGCACATAGAGGCCAGCGAGCGTATGGGTGCTGGGATGCATCCAGCCATGTGGGACCTCGGCGAGTCAGCGGGCAGCTGGTTGAAGAGGGATGGTTGCCATCTCCCGGGCATGGCGCACATGCCCACAGAGAGGGCTCTGAATGCCGCCTCTGGCATGCGTGCCATAGGTTCGCCACTACTGGCCTAGGCTCTGTCTAGACCATTTCAAGTCCTTGCCTTTTTCCACAGACCTTAACCTCCAAGTTCTGCTCAGTGCTGTGCCTTCTCTGAACAAGTTCTTGGATAGTTAATCATACTTGTTTTTTTAATGTAATGCAACAAACAGCTTTTTTTAAAAAAAGAAAGTGCAACAAATAAAATAATATGTTGCTTTTTGTTTTTATTAAATAATAAAGTCCAGGTCTAATAGGAACATATTATAGGTAGTCCTTATGACCACAGTTAGGACCAGAATTTGCATTGATAAGGCAGTTGTTTTTTTACCACAGTCGTTAAATGAATCACTGCAGTTGTTAAGTGAATCCAGCTTCCCCCATTGACTTTGCTCGTCAGAAGCCAGCTGGGAAGGTCGTAAATGGTGGCCGCATGACCCTGCAGCCATCAGAAATGCACGCCAGTGACAGGTCCCCAGTTTTTATTCACATGACCATGGGGATGCTGTAACGGTCATAAGTGCAAGGATGGGTCATAAGTCACTTTTTTCAGTGCCATTTTTAACTCCCAACGGTCGCTGAATGAATGGTTGTACGTTGAGGGCTACCTGTAATAGTTAGGGTATTTTTTCCCAGAATGCATTGCTAACCTCAGCCCTGTCCTCTAGGGAATTGGTGCAAGAGGAGGAGGAACAGTTGATGGAAGAGAAGAGAAAGAGGAAAGACGACAAGAGAAAGAAAGGAGCTGCTCAGAAGAAGGTGAGACAGAGACTAAGATGTCTCATGAAGTAAAGCCATGCCCTCAGGTTACCAGAATGGTGCTCTGGAGGGGTGTGTGCTGCTTAAGACACTTGCTCTTGGGGTGTTTTATATGCTTTGTTAGAAAAAAAAAAGGGGAGTACTGTATAATGGTCTGGCTTGCAATAGTAATGCCACCTTATAGGAGGGATGGATGGCATAAAAATGTAATAAAATTACACACACACACACACACACACACACACACACACACACACACACACTGTAACAGTAATGCTACAGTCTGCAGCAGGAAATTCACCATAAATAATAGTGATACATTTCTTATCTACAGAGTTTTCCGTTAACCAGTAGAATTCATAACCTTTGTGTGCAAAATAAGATTTCATGTGAGCCGATACAGGTTATAAAAGGGGATTAGAAATTCATGGAGAGTAAGGCTATCATGACAATAATGAAGGTACTTTCCCTCTTATTACTAGTTGCTGGAAAAGTAAATGAGGAGGGGTTTATGTCCTCTGGTATATTGCAACATTGCCCTTTCTGCTTGTTTGATTATTGGCAATAAGCATTAGCTTGTGGCCCAGTTATCCACAGAAGGTGCAGTCATGGCATATGGATTTAACAAGGTAGCATTTTGAATAACAAATAAACCTGGTAAAATTGTTCGCTATGGTAACTGTCACTTATGGGATCTACGCTAAAAAAGATTCCTTAAGTGCCTCAAATAATGTGTACAGTATATTTTTAAAAATCCCACAACACATAAATGCTCAGTTTCAGACATACAAGTCTTTTTCTTTATGCCTACTTATTTAGGGCTCAAATGATTGAGCAGGAATAATCTCTAATATGTTGGAAATGTTTTGGAAACAACGTTTTAAAAATGCAGACGAGACAAAAATAAAAGTAAAATATGTTCATGTGTTCATCAAGACAGTAATTTAAATTATCCAGTCAAAAGCTTTGCTGGGAGAAACCACGATTGTATCCTCCCCATCTCCTTTCTGCCTCCTACTAATCTAAAAAATATCCAGATACCCATTGTCATATTTTTTTTCAGATTATATGCTGTATTTATATTGTAGAACGCAAAACTATTTTGTGAACATGCATTACAGACACTATTTATAGTATAGGCTTTCCAGTTAACAGATGGAAATAATACATTTTTTGTTTGAGTTTTGCAACCAAAATCAAAAATATGCAATGCATGTATTAGAAGATAAAGTCAACATTTTTGCTGTCTTTATGTTTCAGGTATATTTTGTGGCAATGAATTGCTACAAGATTACATGTGAGGCACATGAAGTCTTGAAAAAGTGTGTCTAACTGTTCCTTATCACTTGCTGATGTAATATTCTTTTTAATCATTTGCTTAACCTTTTTTCTGTTAGTTGAGAAATAGCACCCAGCGTGAGCTACCTTTGTCTTCTTTCTGTAGAAACAATAAGGGGACTTAAGTTCCCATTCTTTCTTTCCGCAGAACATTTTCTAAAAAGAATTGGGGCTGGGTTCCAGCAAACCAGATGCTAGTTGAAATACTATAACAAAAGGTTTGAGTGGGGGACTGTTTTGTTTTGAGATTAGAATATTTTTTTTAATTTAGTGTATAGGTTACTAAAAGCCTCCATGAAATTTATTTATTAGAATCAAACCTCAAGTAGTCCTTGACTTACAGCTGGTCACTTAGAGACTGTTCAAAGTTATAACAAAAGCTATTCATAACCTGGTTTCAAATTTATGGGCACTGCAGTGTCCCCACAATTGTTCACCTTTAAAACTATCCACAGGGCACACACCCTCAATCCTCCCATCCCACCTCACTGGATCCCCACAGGTCTTGGGCCAGTTTCCCATCCTGCAGGCTTCCATACGTTACTCCCCACACCCCCATCACAGATCCCTCACTTACCTTTTACTCCTTCAGCCTGGGGAGGGAGCAGTCCCCACAATACTCTGCAGATTGCAGCTGTGCTAACCTCCTTTTAACTTGCTGTGGTTTGCTAGGGATTGGGCCAAGCCATAAGCATTCCCATGCAGGAAGACCGTGTATGACCACATCAGCCCTTTAGCTTGAATAGAAAAGTGTTCTGGCAGAAGAACAAGCTGTCTTCAGAGCGGGACACTTTCTAGTTTATTCTGCAATACTTAGTTTAAAATGCAAGTTCAAGCTTGACTCTGTTTAATTTACTACCTTAAGTTTTCATTGGATTTGATTTCTAGAGCTAAATTTTGAGGTATGTTGAAAAACAAATGTTAGTTTCTCTTATTGTAGAGATAACAACTTCTGAGAGCTTTTACTTGAAAGTCCATTGTAATTGTGCTGAGTCGCTTTCTAAAAAAAACATTCAATATTGTTTGTTTATTTCAACGAGTGCCCTTAAAGCTAAACTAGATAAAGACTGAACCAGATTTCCTTGATCTGCATATGCATCTTCAAGCCCATCTGCACACAAGGGGTGGGGGAGAATATTCCACGGGGTAGGGGCCATCCCTGTGAAGACCTGTCACCTGGTCCCTTGGCCGCTGCTGAAAACACAAGTGAAAACTGTGGGTGGAAGGGGGTCTCTGCTACATTACCATTATCATTCAGTTAGATGGTTCCATGTCTGACCTGGAATCTGTAGAGCTGATACAAATGTGTATTGCATAAACAGGTACAACCAACTAGCACAAAAAACCCAGAGTCATCAAGGAGTAGGGCAGCCTTTGTCATTTAAATCAGTGGTTCTTAACCTTTTTGAACGAATCGCCCCCTTGAGCCAATGAGGAAGTTGTCATCGCCCCCAACACAACCTCTCAATCACAACATAGGAAATAATTCTTCAATTTATGCAAACACTTTTTTTGTTTTCTTTAAAATTGTCATCAGGACATATCGATGCAAATAATTTATTTCCAGTCTTTTCCCCATATCTCCCATATTCTGGCCAATGGTGCACCACTGTATGGGTAGAGGCTGCTGCGCAACGTGCATGAATATAAGCGATGTGTCTTCACATACATACGGCATTCTGTACTGAAGCTAGCTGGAAGAACATTTGAAAACACAATTCAATCCACTAATAGCGAGCAATCTGATGTTTTTGTACGACAGATATACAGCAATTCACTGTACGAAAAAGTCTCAAAAGTGTCTCCAAAACTTCTCGCTCCATCGCCCCCATATCGCCCCACTTTCGTTCCTTCGCCCCCCTGAAAAATGAAATCGCCCCCTGGGGGGCAATATCGCCCAGGTTAAGAACCACTGATTTAAATAAATAAAATCCTGACTGAAAAGGATTCAGATGATCTCCACCCATTTTTGGTAAGTGTCCCTTTCATGGTCTAGCCTTCTTTGAAGACTTTCACTGAAAAAGACCTCATGACTACATGTCAGTCATCTTCAGCTTGATACAGTCAGGAAGTTGCTCCTGAGATGCTTGTTCTTCCTACATTCTGGTTAGCCTTAAGAAAGCCAATAATGCCCCTACATTGATAATAGATCCAGTATTGTTCAGAAGAGAATAAGGAAATCAGTAACCAAATTTTCTTTTTTGTTTCACAGGCCACTGAACAAAAAAACAAAGGTAAGTTACTTGAAATACTACAATTATTTCCATAACTTTGATATTTGATGGTTTGAATGCAGTTTCTATAAGAGACCTGATGGAGTTATGATCAGATACTTCCAGGTGTTCCCCTTTGTGGCCTGAAAAGCACCTGCAAGCAGTTTGCTCTTCCGATCGCTTGTCATGCTCAGCCTTACTCATTGAGACCCACAAAGTGAGGAGAGCAAAAGGCAACAAATTCACCGTAGGAAATTCCTTCTGTTAAGCATCTCACGGTTCATAATCTGCTGAAGAGGAAGGGGAGAGTGGCAGAGGTCCAGATGGAAATGCTACTGATTACTCATCAAACGTGGCCTGCAGCACTTACTCCCTTGAAGCTAGAAGCCTTGCTTTCAGAAAACCAAAATTGTGAAGTAATGCACTGTACACCAACTTCATTAGAGCGCTTAGGTGTTTTTTAATGGTTGTGTTTAAGATCAAACCATGCTTCCATTTCAGTGCATTAGGCCAGAAATAGACAAGAGGGATCAACTCTTAGACTTGTTGTGGAATGTGTGGAAGACTTAGGGGGGGACAAGGGAAAGAGGAGCTGCCTAGGAAACAGCAAGAGAGGCAGGACCTCCAGTGGCTTAACAGTCAGAGGAGGAAATTTAGGAATGGATGAAGCGTTAAAAGTGGCAGCAGGAGGTTTGTACCTTCAGACCTGCAAGGTTCTGTTAATGTAGCCTTCCAAGGGAATAGAATTGACTCATCTGTTTCTGTTTCCTGTCCGGCTTATCCATCCAGGAGAACTGAGAGACTTGAAAAATCCTTTTTCTTATGTGCATACATCTGAACTGGAGCAAATCCTTCTCTTTAAAATTCTGCGTTTCCCTCTTCTTTCTCTGTAAACCTGTGCAATAGATTTAAAAAGAGAATCACCCCAGAAGTTTCTTGGTGCTTACTTGGTACTTGGTATAGTTGTGCCCAATTTTATAGACTTTAATAATAATAATAATTAATTATAATGAGGAGGAGGAGGAGGAAGGGATCTTGGAGGTCATCTAGTCCAACACCATGTTCAGGCAGGAAACTCTATACCATTTCAGACAAGTGGATGTCCAGTCTCTTCTTTAAAACTTCCAGTATTGGAGCATTCACAGCTTCTGGAGGCAGGTTGTTCCTCTGATTAATTGTTCTAACTGTCAGGAAGTTTCTCCTTAGTTCTTGGTTGCTTCTCTCCTTGATTAGTTTCCATCCGTTACTTCTTGTCCTGCCTTCAGGGGCTTTGGAGAATCGCTTGACTCCCTCTTCTTTGGGCAGCCCCTGAGATATTGGAAGACTGCTATCCTGTCCCCCCTGGTCCTTCTCTTCATTAAACTAGACATACCCAATTCCAGCAGCCGTTCCTTATATGCTTTAGCCTCCAGTCCCCTGATCATCTTTGTTGCTCTTTGTACTCTGTACTGTTTTTGTCATAATTGTTAAGCAAATCGCACAGTCGCTAAACAAATCATACAGTTGTTACAGGAATCCGGCTTTCCTCATTGACTCTATGCATCATCTTATGTGTCCCAGGTTTCCCCCCCCCCACTTTTTCATAAGACCACCGCAGGAAAAAATGTCCCATCATGCTTTTTAAATTTCTAACAACAATTAGAAATACCTTTTTACAGTAATACTATTGAAATTCATAATTTATAGCAATAAAAACCAATACAAACTAAAAGACATGAAAAAAGCTAAATGTTTTTTTAAAAATATTTTTATACACACTAGACAATTTTTCTGGAGTCATGTATCAACAGTACAGCATTTAACACAAATTCTCTATTAAGTTATAACATAATTTAATTTTTAGTCCTTACACGTGTTTTCTTTTTTTTAAATAGTACTTTTGTCAAAGGTTACAATTACAGTAGTAAAAACTAATACAAACTTTAAAAAATGAAAGAAAAAATAAAAGGCGCAGAAAAGAAAAAAATAGAGAAATAGAAAAATAAAAAATATGAATATAGTAAAAAAAGACAAGAAATGTGTAAAGAAATGGCCTTTCCCCTACAAGTATAAATAGTTTTAGTAACATACCACCTTCTCTTAAAATACAACAAATGATCTCTTTTTTCCATAAAAACTGTCATTTCAGTCCTGATGTCAGCAAAATCCATTAAGAGATAACGTTTCTATTTTAACCTTAATCAAGTAAACCAACTTTATATTCCTTTTTATTCTAACCAACCTTGATCTTTAATCCCTTCAGATGATGTCTTAGAATTTGATGTCTATTTTTTTTCTTTGTCCTTTCTGACAAGATTCTTCAAAACATTAACAAGCCTCTTTTGAAAATCTAATCTATGAAATTTATCAAGGTTACTTTTAATTTTAATCCCTTTTAATTATCAAGATGTCAGCAAGTTTCTTGTGTATGCCCAGGATAGCATCTTTTTCCATTCCATTCTTGTAGCCTGTCATTTTTAAATCCACTTTCAAATCACTCTCAATCATCTCAGGTAATACTTGTTCCTATTTCATAATATCCTTTAAATACAGCCTGTCTATAGAGGCAGATATCGACTTCTGGGTCCATTGTTCACAAATATCCTTCCAAGACACCCGACGATAAAATGTTTTGCTTTTTTCTGTATTAGTAAATCAAGTTTGGAGGTTTCTTCTTAATCTTTAGTTCCTCTAGTGGCCAATTTTTAAAGTCTTTTATTTTATTTTTTGATTCAAAAGAAAAGCATTTTCCCGCGGGAAGGGTTTTTATAATTCATTCTACACTAGAATGGATTCTTTGTTGTTGTTGTTTTAGGATGCCACTGTATTTGTGGCTTTGCTCAGATTGTAGTCTTATTTTTTTATACCAAGGGTCCCCAAACTTGGCAACTTTAAGACTTGTGAACTTCAACTCCCAGAATTCCCCAGCCATCCAGTCAAGACAGCCAACAAGTCTTAAAGTTGCCAAGTTTGGAGACCCCTGTTATTTACTGTTGGTGCCCAGAGAGCATAAAAGGGGGGGGGGTAGGCCTAGAAATGCTGTAAAAGTTAACAAGAAATCCTGGAAGAGGCTCCCAGTGGGGCAGGTCTTCCCTTGCATCTTTAACATAGTCAGTTCTAGTCAGCTTCCTGATGACTTCCTATCCTGCCAGCTGAAGCCAGCAGTGATAATCCCGTTTGTTTGCTTATGAAATGCTGGATCATCCTCAGTAAGTCTTGAATTTTTCCAGTTGCCTTCACTGTTTTGTTCTCTTCTCGAGAATTCTAATCTGCAAGGCTAGAAGAGGTTTAAGCCTCTGTTTGGGAGGGCCGACCTGCTTTTCCGCTGGGGAGGGCTGGCGCAGAGTGAAACTTTGGGGTGAGGCTGAAGTAGGGTGCCCTTCTTCCTTTTCTCACACAGCACTTACACTGAACATCTTTGCTCCCCCCCCGAGTGCATGGGGGTGATGCCATAGGGCAGCTGCTTTTGGGTTCCTTCACAGAGTCTTTTGGTTTCAGTTAAAGAGCTTATAAACGTTTTATGGTTGATTGAGCAGAAATCTGGTCCTTCCTCACATGAACTGAAGCAGACTAAACTGTTTTCCTTCATCAGTTAAATCAGTGGTTCTCAACCTGGGGGTCGGGACCCCATTTGGGGTCGAACGACCATTTCACAGGGGTCGCCAAACAACGCAATCCGCCATTTTTCCCCCCTTTTCCTTACCTGTGCTACTCCCTTCTATTCTATTGGCTTTTGAAAGCCCATAGAATAGACTCTCTTGAATAGAGTCTAATTCTATTGGTTTTCAAAAGCCAATAGGAATGGTCCAGGCTGTCTCTGCCCTGCTGAGCCCGCCAAAAGTCCCCTTCTGCAAATGGTGCTGCACCAGTTGAGTAGTCCTCGACTCACGATTGGTTGAGTAGTCCTCGACTTACGACCGGTTGGGGGGTTGCGGCATTAAAAAGGTTGAGAACCACTGAGTTAAATTCATTGTTCCTTGTGCTTCCTACAAAATGTGCTCGATATACAAAAAGCAGATTGCATTGCAAAAATTGAAGGGGGGATGTTTCAAATTAGAACTTGAAGTGTTCTCTCTGAGTTCAGAGTGGTTGATTCCCGTCTTACTTTGTGGTTTCCAGCAGGTCACACTTGAAATCCTTTGTAACATTCTGCACGCCATCAAAACATCCTCGTGATTTGTTTGTTTAGCATTAATAGATGCTTTTCAGTTGAACCGAGGAGACTGGTCTTTTGAAGGCATTCGGTTAAAGAAATATAGTATGTTCATCAGCTCTCTGAGTAGTCTTTGTTTCAAAAATGTCAGTATATTTCTAGTTGATAGTTGAAGTGAGCCTTAATACAGCAAAATTTGGCATTTTTATTTTTCTTACGTGAGAGCTGAGCAAGAATTAAAACTGTTCGCAAAATGCATACTTTCTGGAAAATGAAGTTTGCCGAGAAAAAAAACTTTCCTTAAACTTGGATCGGTTCCCTTTCTCTGGATTAATACTAAGATAACCGGAAAACCTTTCATTCTCACAATTTTGCTGGTGGGAGAGTCTCTAGCGTTGTGAAGTGGCAGGTCTTTCTTGTTTCTCTCTCTGCTTCCTGCTGGACAAAAAGGCCTCCCCAGTGCTGAGCTGCTGTTCCTCCACTGGGGCTGCTGGGGGGCGCCTTTGGTGGGGTGGGAGGAGGCTGAGAGTTCCTTGGGCCATTCCTTAGAGCAGCAGGAGAACCAGGCTTTAAAAGGGGCAATAAAAGAACAAATGGTCAAGCGCAACAGTTATTTCACCTTGTGCAATAAAGGGGTTTAGTTTCTGGTTCCATAGGATGGCTCATGGTGACAGACGATCAGATCCTGTCTTTACTGACCAATGCTGGCTGTGAAATTCTGGGAGTTGAAGTCCACATGCCTTAAAATGGTCAAGGTTGAGAAACACTGAAATAATTGAAAGTTAGGACCAGATGCTCCTAGAAAATTCCTGCTTGTATTAAAATTGGAAATCAGGAAAGGGTTCTGGTATGACCAATATATCTGATTGTGCAAACATCAAAGGGAGGATCAGCCAAGAGAGTAAGCAAGTTAATAATCCTTTGAAGCCTAATTTGCCCTAAAAGCAGTCTCTAGGTTTTGGCTGCTAGCCCATTTTTGTAGTCGACAGTGATGTTACGAATGTTTACAGATATTCCACCTCCGGGATGAAGATCTCATTAAGAGAAACACCTTCTCTTTCCATAACAAAAAAAAAAAAAAAGGAAGATCTCTGAAGCCAAAGCAAACAGAAAAGCTGAAGATGTAGGCTTCCTTTGACATTCACAAATATTTTGTTGGGTGGGACATTCTTACATCAATAACACGTCTTTGTTCTCTGAGAAATAAAACTGAACTTCGCTGCGGCTGTCTTGATCTGCAAACATCTGGTTTCCTGTTTCAGAAAAGATTCTGACCAAGCTGAAGTAATACTGTTCCTGTTGCATCAAATGCTGTGTTGCTGTTGGGTTTTTTTAGGTGTTTATCACCCTGCCTCCCCCCCCCCATGTACAACTCCACGCACCAAACATACCAATAAATACCCCTTCTTCCTCCTGTTTTCCCCACAACAACCCTGTGAGGTGATAGAATTCACAGTCTCCTAGTTTCTAGGCCAGCACCGTAACCAAACCTTTGCAATATATATTAATGCAGTGGTCCCCCAAAACATACAGTGTTTTACTTGTTCATTCCCCAGATTTAACTTCAATAACATTTTACAAACTTTAGCAATAATATGTGATCACTAGCTTTTTTGGTTAACAAATTTTATTAAAAGGTACAAACATTCACGAGTTAAAAAGGATGCTACCACATTCCTAGTTTTTTTTTTTTTCTACCACAGACTTGCACAGCTCTACTCCTACCTCTAGAGTTATTCTGAGTAAAAGTAAATCATTAGCTGGAAGAGTAGTGCAAGTGATTAAATAGCCCTTTCTGTGTTCAGAAAGGATTAACTCAATAAACCTGCATAGCTTCAGACGCAGCTTTTTAATTTTCTCCTTTGTCAGTAAACAGCAGAACAGTTACTCACCTTCAATGTTATTTTATTCCTATCTCAGCTGGCACTTGTCTACCCTTCCTTGCTACAGAATAGCAACATGCTGATAACGCTGTTTGCTTACCGTTGATAAATAGATTAAATAGACAATAGATTTAAATAGACCCACGTATTTCCAAATGGGATTGGAAAACAAAATCATTAAACTAATTGCAGTGCAACTTGACTCATTTACTCCTCCATTTTATCCAGTCATTCTTGCCTCTGAGCTCTGCCAGAGATAAAAATGGTGTGTTCTCTGCAGTTTGAAAGCATTAACCACTTGCACCCTGTGGCCCTTAGAGTTACAGAAATTCTTTTCAGTCTTTATACATGACTCCTCTGATTTCTCCTGCCCTCTTCCTTCGGTGTTGTCTCCTCCTTCCACTGTGTGTTCTTTGAAGATGACATATGAGCATAAGGCCAGATTCCTGCCTATTCTTTTCTCACCCCACGGAAAGGGAGAGCAAGAAATGGTGCCATTGCACTGCACCTGGTCTTCTGAAAGGCTCTAAAGGCCTCTGCACCTCTTCTTAGAAGTGGCCCCTTCCATTTGGAAGGCCAGACCCAGCAGCAGCCTTCTGCCTTCAGAGTGGACCTGGACATTCTTGGTGCTCCTTTTGCCAGAAATTGCTGCTCTGGTAATGCAACAACTTGGAGCTGTTGGCCAAAACTTCACTGCTTTTTTTGCTGGAAGTTTCTGAGTAACGTTTCTCTGTATTCTGAGCAAAGTGCATGTTGATAAATTGGATAAAATGTCAATTTTGAGCATTTCTTAACTTGCATTTATGGTAATCATGCTATTATATTTGTGTTGGCATTGGGGCATTCATAAATATGTCGGATAGATTATAGAGAACAATTTTCAAATTAGCTGGTCAAGAGGTTTCATGCCTGGTAACAGTAGGATGTTGAGACCTATCACAGGGGAACTTATTTTGGAAATGCAGAGTTGTTTGCCATCAGAGCGGCATGTAAGAGTAGATAAATTAATTTATCCTTAAATAAAGGAACACTCAACTAGTTCTTTTTTTTTTTATTGAAAATTTTTTAAAAACTTTTACAAAAACAGAAAAAAAAACAATAACAATAACACTCAACTAGTTCTTAACAGCCACTTTTTCGTGTTTTTGTATTTTCAAAAGCGTGTTTGCAATAATTTACTAAGTGTATGCTCCTTTTCTCTCCTCTTCTCTTGGGGGGGGGGACAGTGTTAGAACCCGCAAAGCCTGGTGCCAGCCAGCCACTCCCTGCTTCAGCCCCTCCTCCCGCGTCTATAGTCACCGGCAGTATTAGTGGCAACAATAATGCCAAGCGGGCTGTGGGCAACAATCCGCAAGCGCAGCAGCCATCTTCACCACGCTACCCACCTCGAGAAGTGCCGCCACGGTTCCGGCACCAGGAGCAGAAGCAACTCTTGAAGCGAGGACAGCCACTGCCGGCGATTGCTACCAACCTGACGGCGCCATCTAAATTGCTGAACAGCCAGGCGGGCGACAACACCGGGACCCGTGAGCAGCCGGTCTCTGACAGCCAAGGACACAGCAGCAGCCAGAAGCAGCCCGGTGAGAGGGAGCAAAACATCCACCTGAGCCTAGGAATGTCAGCATAAAGGAGGGTGGCTGGGCAGCAAGGTTGCACACGGCTACGGGAACCGAGCTTGGTTGTTCAGTAAAGGCTCTGGTAACTGTCTTGCCTCTTGCAAGGAAATAGGATAGATCAGCTGCAGAACCTCCCCATCCCCTTTGGCGTTGCCAGCATTACCACTGCAGAGGTTGGATCCCATCTCATGCTAAACAGTAAAGCGGAAAAAAGGAAGGTCTGCTTGAAGCTAACCTTTCTTACGTAGATGGAGCTCCAGCCTCACCCAGCACTGGGTGAGAGCAGTTCAGATGTCTTCCCTCGTTAGAAGACTTCCAGGATCTATGAAATAGCATCCTCTTCTTCAAATGCTCACCAGCAGGTTTGAAGAGACCTAATTGTGGCGCAGTAAAGGTTTTGGGAAATTTTGGAATGTGTTGTAAGGCAGGGGTCCCTAACCTCTGGGCTGCAGCCCACTAGTGGGCCATGAGGGGATTGCAACTGGGCTGCAGAAACAGCAGACACGCACACACATCCTCACTTGTGTGAGCAGTGGGTGAGTGCATGCACACGCGCTCCATTTGCATGAGCAGCAGGCACGCGTGCACACCACTTATGCAAATGGAAAGGTTGGGGAATCTGCCCTGTTGCCAAGTCCTTTGTGTACTTAGATTTTCTTCCCAAGGATTTTTTTCCTTCATCTGCTGCCACTTTCTACTGAGCCTAACTTCCTGCTGGAAGGCGGAATAGGGCTGGGAGAGAGGTAATCCTCACCACTTCCCCAGATCCAGAACACAAAGAAATATTTGAAGGCTGATAGATTTTGGCAGGACACCGGTGGAGGTCAAGCAGGACAGACAGCCACTCAAAAGTGTTTGAGAAGGCCTCTTCTCTCCACCAGCAGCCCTACTTTAGGGTTGAAGGAAGAGCAGTCTTAAGCAGTGCCCTGGAGTACACATCTCTCTCCAGTCTTTCCCAGCATCCGAAACACTGACAGGTCAGAATTCTTACAGACGATCAGAAAAGGAAAAATGTGTGCCGTATTTTCCGGCGTATAAGACGACTGGGCGTATAAGACGACCCCCGACTTTGAGAAGATTTGCATGGTTAGAAAGTCGTCTTATACGCTGGAAAATACGGTATTTTCCGGCATATAAGACAACTGAGCGTATAAGACGACCCCCGATTTTGGAGAAGACTTGCATGATTTAGAAAGTTGTCTTATACGCTGGAAAATACGGTATCTATTTGGAAGATGCCTGCCAGCCTCCCCTAGCCTAAGCAGAGGATTAGACTAGCCTAATCCATGTTGAAATAGAGTCCATGCCAGAGAAACAGACATCTGCAGAGTGAGAACCTGGAGGGGCTTCACAGGGCGAAGGAGAAGGGGTCTCACTGCTTGTACCCTGTACATGAGCAGTCGCCAGATTCCCCCAGGCATGGATGATGTCTTGGAAAGAGTTGGGTCGGTTCTACAAAGGACAGGCCTTGTTAAGGGCTATCAATTTTGAAGAATGCAAGGTACTTCCAGGTTGGGAACAGCAGGTCTTCATATACTGGGGGGGGGGAACGGGGGATGTATCTATTGCCCATTTGTGAGCAGCCCCTAGTGTGATCTGGTTGCCCACAGTGGGACCCCCAAATGCTGGATTCAGGTGGTCCTGGCCTAGCTTCCAGGGAGGAGGACGAGTCCTGGGATTCAGCATTCACAGCATGCTGTGATTCCCCGTGGAATGCAGCAGAACCCTTTATTTTATAAGCGTGCCGTGTGTGAGCTGCTTCCCGCTACTTCCAGTAGTAGTTGTGCCACTGCAAACTTGCTTTCTGTTCCTTTTTTTTCAAATCCTTGCTCTTACCACTCAGCTCTTTTTTCTATCAGCTGTTAATAGCCCATTCCATCCTTGTATTTTGCATTTCTCTATCCTCATTGCAGCCATGAGTAAGATTCCATTTTCAAAAGCGTCATTAAAGAAGTTTCTATTTTTGGAGGTAGTTGGTCACAAAAAAATCAAAAGTTAAAAAGTAGTACAGCAAAGTCTTCACTGACCATGACACCCACAAAATAGAGTCAGCAAGCCAAAAACCTTTTCTAAAGCTTTTCAAAGGCAATAGAACATTATTCGCATCAGAATATTTTTCAGGATGTGAACTGGGCACAGGGGTTTGAGCCTTCTGCTTGAATCTCATGGAAAATGCAGAATTGATGGAGAAAATTGAAGCAGGCACAATGTTTGGGGCATCACCCCAGAGCAGTTTGATCTTAGGAAACTTTGGAGGGGAGGGAACAAGAAGTGGAGATTGCAAGTAGGGATGTGTTGCCATATGAAAGTGAAATGCAGATATCTGGAGGGGGAACCCAGGCCAGGCTTTGATGAAAGATTAAGGAGTTTGTGGTAAATCTGGCAGCAGAGGGGAAAGACAGATGATTGCTTGGAATTCTGAAGTGTCTTAAATGACTATGTGAAACATCTGTATCATCTCAGGCTAAAATTGCTTTGGAAAATAAGCATTTAGAAAAGATCAAATACCACAGGTTTTTATTGGCCCGTATCCAGTTACTTTCAGATAAAGTTTTTGATCAGAAATACATACTCATTGGCTTATCTTAAGACTGTTCAGAAAGGAACTGGATTAGACTACCGTATATGCCGCCGTATTAGGCGACCCGGCGTATAAGACGACCCCCGTCTTTATAGCCGGGCCGCATTCCTAGAACGTCGTCTTACATGCCGGAAACTACCAGTATTTCCGGCGTATAAGACGAGTCGGCATATAAGACGACCCCCGTCTTTGGTGCCGATTTCAGCGCTCGCGGAAGTCGCCTTATATGCCGGCATTTACGGTACTTTTGATGCAGAAAGTCTAATGTTGTGCTTTTCAGAACACAATATGATTACAAATTAGTGTTCTACATTGCTACTTGAGCCTTAAAAAGTGGAAAGTGATGTAGTGCATTTGCTGTAACCTCAGGCTCCCCCTCTGCCACCCGCCCCAAATCCAGTGATAAGGTATCCGGGGCAGGGAGTGTAGAGATGGAAGGCTGAAGGAGAGACCGCAAAAGTCCTAGCAGAGGTTGCAGATGCTGAGATGAGTGAAGGCAAGAGGGCGAGACACACTTTCCCAAGAGGCTTCAATAGCCAGGCAGGTTTGCGCTGCTCCTCAGCTCTCGTTAAGTAGTGCCTCTGCTTGTTTTGTTCAGAATAGAGCAGACATTGGTTCTTTCCATTTTCTGGGGCACTGATCCAGAAGGATTGTTTCCTCTCGACCCGTATTTTATTTTTTTGCACGATGTTTTTAGTAATGCTTTCTATTTTTCTTAGATCTGAACCACAGCACACTTGGATCCCATTATGAGAATGCTCACTGGGAAAGGATCTTTTCCAGTAGTGAATCCAGCACAAACTGGGATAAAACTGTTGTAGACGGTTCAGAGAAGGAGGCATGGCCCTCGACCCCCAGCAGTGACTTGCAGCTGGCTTCAGAATGTATGGACGCTGATTCTGCCTCAAATTCTGGGTCAGAGAGGAACATTATTATGGCCTCACGGGGCCCAAGCAGTGAAGTCAGCCACCTGCAGAACGGCATTGGACACGCTAATCAGGCCAAGCTTGTCAGCAGTAGCAACAGCAATAATGTGAGCAGCGGAAGCATTAGTGAGTCATGGGGCGTGTCTCTGGGTGCCTTGATGAGCCCCTGTCCCCTTTCAGCAGATGCTTCCAATGGCATCCCTGAAAGTAGCAACAATAGAGTGAATGCTTGGGGCACCCCCAGTTCAGCCAATGAAGAATTAAATTCCAGCACTTTGACGTCCAATGGCCACGGTGGTGCCTGGCCAGTCTTGGAGAGCAGCGGGCATGCCCTAAAAGGGTCCCGAGGAAGCGGCAGCTGCGGCACAGGTGCCGTTCAGATGGTGAACAATCAGAGTGTGAACTCTAGCCTTGCCAGCTCCTGGGGCAGCCTCCAGGAAAACTGTGATTCCCAACTCAATGGTACAAGGAAACTTTCACGAAGTGGGCAGCCTCAGAACCCGAACCACGAAGTGAATGGACCAAATAAGAACACTACTAACTTTATGACCTCTAGTTTACCAAACCCAACTGGTTCAATGCAGACGACTGAACTGGTTAGTAATGCAGGGCCCGGGACCTGGGGCCGGAGCGCCAAAAGCAATCGGCCTCAGCCTCCAGCCTCCCCAGTAACAAACGGCACTTCCATTTCGCACCTGAGCAATGGTGACACAAAAAATGGTGGGGCTCCTGGTACTAGATGGGGTACCTATGGCCCTGGTTACTCCCTAGAGACCCGTTCTGACTCAAATAGCCAAGCTAACAATGACACTGTGAATGCAACGCCAATGCAGCCTGGGCTGAGTAGGACCAGCAGCTCAACCATGGAAATAAGTGAGGATCAGCAGACAGGGACGTGGGAGGTGGCAGGCATGGGCACTAGCCAGAATGGGGCCTGGGGGCCTAGAAGTGGAATGGGCCACGGAGGAGCCCGGAGAGGCTCTGCCCAGAATGCCAGCTTAGGAGATGGCGAATGGAACAAGCTCCCGAGCAGCCATTCCTCTGAAGCCAGCAGTGGGAATGGGAAGATGTTTACCAATGAATGGAAATCTGCCAAGGAGGAGAAGGCGGGTGTGGACCCCCAGTGCTGCGCAGTTCCCCAGGCACTGGAACAGAATGGTGGGTGGACCAAGGCTGGTTCTGGAGACGGTGACGGCAATCTCGAGGTCCCCGAGGAGCGCTCCTCCACAGAAGGGGCAAGCCATGAAAGAAGGAAAATTGACCAGCAAACACTGCTTCAAAGTATAGTGAACAGAACAGATCTGGATCCACGTGTCCTTTCCAATTCTGGTTGGGGGCAAACCCCAATAAAACAAAACACAGCCTGGGATACAGAGGTGACTCCAAAGGGCGAAAAGAAAGCTGACAATGGAACAGAAGCCTGGGGGGGTTGTGTGGCCCAAGCCTGCAGTTCAGGGCCAGCTCCGGAGAGGCCCCATCTCCATGGGCCCAGTCCTTCCCCTGGGACAAGCTGGGGTGAGCCTAAGTCTGCAAGCAGGTGGGGAGACTCCAGAGGCCCCAGCAGCCAAGGAGGTTGGGAAGAGGGCGCAGCACCCGCCGTGGCCAAGAACAGCCAGTCGTGGATGACGGGCCAAGAGGTCCGGGCTCCATCTCTGACCTGGAACGACACAGAGAAGCTCAAGCAGGGATGGGGAGAAGGGCCCAAAGCCAGCCCCGGATGGGCTGGCGACGGCTGGGGGGAGAACATGAGGAACAATCATTGGGGAGAGTTGAAGAAGTCCAGTTCTGGCAGTAGCGACAGCGACAGGTCCACCTCCTGCTGGAAAGAGCCTGCTAGATCGAACTCTGGGCGCTGGGGTGGGGGGAATGGCGGCAGCACCAAGCCAGGCAGCGCTTCAGGGTGGGAGGAGACCACCAAGCCAAATCCCAGCCCCGTGTGGGCGGAATCCCCCAAGCCAAATCGCTCCCAGAGCTGGGGGGAGCCTTCCAAGCCCTCAGGGTCCCCAGACTGGAGCAAGCAGCAGGAAGCTGCGTGCTGGGGGGGGGCATCTGTGGCGGCGGCTGCAAGCAAACCGTCAGGTATGGGATGGCTGGGGAGACCCATGCCGGCCCCAGTCAAAGAAGAAGAGCCCACCGGGTGGGAGGAGCCCTCCCCAGAGTCCATTCGTCGTAAAATTGAGATTGATGACGGAACCTCTGCGTGGGGCGACCCGAGCAAATACAACTACAAAAACGTGAACATGTGGAACAAGAACACCCCGAATCCCGTGGGCCGACCAGACGTGCAAGCGCACCAGCCACGGTTGCCCTCGGCTTCCGCAGCCGGCACGGAGAGCGGGGCTGGCAGTAGCTCCGGTAAGTCTTCTGCAGCTCCTGCTTTCTCATTTCCTAAGCAACTCTTAAGTTGCCTGAGAGTTAGAGGAGAGGATGGGTTGCTCTCAAGGTAGTTTGAAACCCCCCATAATGCAGAGTGGGCTCCCTGCGGTTCCCAGGGCATCTTTCATCACCCCAAAGTGATGAAGACCCCATGCCAGATTGGGCCGGGTCAAGGGTTTGGGCCCCCGGGCAGAGGGTTGGGGCCGATAGGCGCTCTCAGCCTCGCCTGACTTTGGGCGCTGTAGCAGCTCAGGAGAAAAAAGCAAAAGCATTCAATCTGTTCTCCTATGGTCAGTGGGGGAGGGTTTGTTTGTATCCCACCTTTATTATTTTTACAAATAAGGTGAGAAGGTATCCAGCACACTTCCTATTTGTATTAAAGTACACTTCCCCCTTGGAAAACAACGTCACAATCAGACTCTTGATCATAAGAACGCCTTCCTGAGATATCAAGGGCTTGCAATCTTCTAGTCCAGAGAGTCAAAACAGGAAGCACTTGACAGGGGGTCTTTTTTTCACAAAATTCTTGGATTTTTGCAAAAAAATAGAGGGATAAGTTTAACCTTTGGTTGGTCTTCAAGGCAAAGCAAGCCGGGAGAAGAGTCGAGTCTTGTCCGTGTTTGTCAGGGTCCTTTGTTTCCGAAGACAAGAGTATCATGTACAGCGTTTTCCTTTCCTATTAGAAGGATTTCTTTAATGTGGCATTGGCCCGATCGCGTCGTAGCATCAAATGGGATAAAACTTTGACCTTTTAATTGGCTTTGGGCTGCTTCTCTCTCTTTTTCAAACAACTTTATGGCCCAGCCTTGCTAATGTTGGATTTGTTTTGAAAGGTTGGGGAGAACCTCCTCCTGCGCCTGTTACAGTGGATAATGGCACATCAGCATGGGGTAAACCTGTTGACTCTGGTCCAAGCTGGGGAGAGCCTGTCGGTGATGCCATCGGTGCCAGTAGCTGGGGAAATGCTTCTGGCGGGCAACAGGCGTCTAATAAAGCAGGTATGAAGGTTTGTGGGGAAATGGGACTTGTGCCTCTAGGCAGTGTTTCTCAACCTTGACCATTTGAAGGCATGTGGACTTCAACTCCCAGAATTCCACAGCCAGCATTGCTGGCTGTGGAATTCTGGGAGTTGAAGTCCACACGCCTTAAAATGGTCAAGGTTGGGAAACACTACTCTAGGCAGATTTGTCAGGACTGACAGTAAAGCAGAATATGCTCTGCTCATACAAGCCACAGGACCTGTGAGTTGCCACCGGGCCTGAGCAGTTCCTCTCTGCTGGTGGCACTGGGTGAGATCTCCTGGGAACCCCCAGTTGGTCCGTGGGGCAGAGCAGCCTAATTTGAGTGGGTTGATTAAGCTAAGAGCCGGCTGATTTTATCCCCAGCAGGACCTAAGTCTATGCAAGTTCCCGATGGCTGGTGTGGGGGTGATATGCCTTTGACGGGGAATCCTCCAACCAGCTGGGAGGAAGAGGAGGATGTGGAGATAGGCGTGTGGAACAGCAACTCTGCTCAAGATGCTGCTGCGCCTTTGCACTGGCCCCCGTGCTCAAAAAAGATGCCTTCAAAGGTAAGCAGGCCAGGAGGAAGAGGCCATGTTTATGTCCAAGAAAAGCTTGGGGGGGGGAGGGGAGTATGGACTTTGATCTTCATAGACCATTTTGCACTGTGATAAGAAAGCAGGTAATAAGGGGCAGTGAGAGAGCAGAGATCCTAGTCTCTGCCTGAAGATGGTCTCCTGCCAGCTGGGTGCCTCCTTGTGAGGAAAATGCCTGAAGTTCTGAGGGAATTCCTTGGGTCAGTTGATGACCACCCAGATCTGCCTTGCTGTTAGCCATGATGCTAAGCCCCAGGGCTTGGCCCCATACTGACCGCCTTTGGCCTTGGTGAGTGGGGGGGTAGCCTTTGGCTGCTGGGGATGAGTTGGTCTTTCTGCCCAGAGCTTGGAGAAGAGATGAGCAATCCGGGCGGAATCAGGTTGGCCCTTTGGCTGCATAGAGTCCCTCTAGGCCTCCCAACTCCCTGAGGCAAGAAGAAGGGAAGGACAATGAAACCACAAGGCGTCTTTTTTTGAGATGTGTAACCTTCCCTCCTCACTGGGCTGAGCTAGAGGAGTCGTTTGAAGCTGAAACCAGAGTCTGTTTTCTGCACAGACATGTTCTCATAACCATGTCTGCAGCTTTAGTCTGCTGTTTTGATGCTGGGCTTTTGTTTTGTTTTTAGGGAACAATGAAAAGTGGAAATAAGCAAGATGAAATGTGGATAAATCCCTTCGTGAAGCAGTTTGCCAATCTTGGGTTCCCTGTAAGTATAGCAGGAAAACAGAACACTGCAGCGGATGGTTTCTGAGTCAACTTTCTTGTCACCTTTTGGGTCGCATGCTTCTTTCCTGGAAGAAAGGGGGAAAGGGGGAAAGGCTGCATGCAGATATTGTCTTGATTAAGCAAATTTCATTCTTTCCTTCAGAGAGACTTGCCAGAAGAAATGATGCAGAGCAATAAGATAGAGCTATCTGGAGGTAAGACAAGCATCAGCCGAGAATGAGAATAAGTGGCTTAGAATGTGTTGCTTCCTGTTAAAATAATCATTGCCCCAGTTGGTTATAGGACGTCTTCTGGGATGGGTTGGCTGGGTGTCCCCAGCTCATAGGCTCCACTGGCCCTTTTCTTTAGGTGTAGAAACCACTCAGAGCTCAGTAGCAGATTGGGATAGGCAGCAACGCTGCAGATTTTCAGCCCATGGAAAAGGAGATCAGAATAGATGGAGATACCAAAAACACAATTGCAATTGATTACAGAAAGAGGAAAAAAAAGGAAGAGAGCAGATATCTGTGACTGCACAAAAAGGCTAGTGAAGATCAGGACAGAAGGGAGAGTTGTCTCTTTAAAAGGGGAAAAATCCAAGACTCATCAGTCTAATACAGTGGTTCTCCACCTGTGGGTCGGGACCCTATTTGGGGTCGAACGACCATTTCATGGGGGTCGCCAAACAACGCAGTCTGCCATTTTTTTCCCCTTTTCCTTAGCTGTGCTACTCCCTTTTATTCTATTGGCTTTTGAAACCCAATAGAATAGACTCTCTTGAAAGAGTCTAATTCTATTGGCTTTCAAAAGCCAATAGGAATTGTCCAGGCTGTCTCTGCCCTGCTGAGCCCGCCAAAAGTCCCATTCTGCAAACGGTGCTGCACCAGTTGAGTAGTCCTTGACTTACGACCGGTTGAGTAGTCCTCGACTTACGATCGGTTGGGGGTCGCGGCATTAAAAAGGTTGAGAGCCACTGGTCTAATACAAAGAATTGAGAAAACCCTGAGAGACCAGTCTGAATCCACCTTCAAAGCAGTGGGGTGATCTCTGGGTCATTTTCCTAGTAGGTGATGCAAATACCCCAGAGACCCAGCATCTGGCTTTCAGCTGAGCATCTGACACAGTACCCTTTCACCTTCTCACTAGGTAGCTGATTAGGCGTGGACTGAATGGCATGACAATGACATGGATATAGAACAGGCTTGAAAACCAGTCCCAAAGTGCTCTTTGGTGGTTCTTCATCAAGTGACCATTCAGAATTACAACATCATTGAAAAATGATGAGATGTAGCCATTTTTCGTATTTACAACCGTTGCAGCATCCCCGTGGTCACGTGATCAAAATTCAGATACTTGGCAACTGACTCATACTTAGGACGGCTGCCTTGTCCTGGGGTCACGTGATCAACTTTTGGGAGCTTCTGACAAGCAAAGTCAGTGGGGAAACCAGATTCACTTAACAAACAGGTTGCTAACTTAAACAACTGCAGTGGTTCACTTAACAACTGTGGGAAGAAAAGTCGCAAAATGGGGCAAAACTCACTTAACAAATGCCTCACTTAGCAACAGAAATTTTGGGCTCAATTGAGGTCGTAAGTCAAGGGCTACCACTGGTCTGGTTCTATGCTGTTCAGTATCCCTATCAGTCACTTGATAAAGAGGCAAAGGGGATGCTTGTTAAATTTCCAGGTAACACATAATTAGGTGACAAAGGGGGTCCTCTAGAAGATAGTAAATTATATTTTGTAGGTTAGAGAAATGCAGAAAAGAAGAAAACAAAATCCAAATGGCAAATGCAAAGTTTGTCACTTGGGAACCAGAAATTCAATACAGCACTAGAGAACGGGTTGGTCATAGATCTTTTGGAAAACACCGTTTCCAAAAGTAGTTACAAGCCAGCTGGGTGATTTGGCAGATTTAAAAAAGCAAATGCAATTCTAGGCTTCATGAAAAAAGTGTGAAGATTCTAAATCACTAGAACAGGGGTGTCAAACTGCCGGCACACAGGCCGGATGCATCATGGCGAAACCGCACCCACCCCATTGCCGGCAATGGCAAAAAAGTCATGGTACGTCGCGATGTGTCACGTGACGTTGCAAGTTTGACACCCCTGCACTAGAAGTAGTTGTTCCACTTTATTTATCCACTTCCATTGTGTTTGGTCAGACCGAACTTTGAAATTGTGTCCTGTCCTGGACACCCCAGAAGTTGAGAGAAGAGCAGCAATATAGCCCAGGGGCTAGAAATGGAACTGGGCATGTTGAGAAACCAAAGGAGGTGGGGCAGGATAGCACAAAGATCAGAAGGGGGGGGTCTCTGCCTCAGGCAAGCAACTGAGGGCCCATCTTCCATTGTTCTAAGGAGCAGGACGCCACATAATTTGGAACAGATCGTGATTGAAGCTTAGGGGAAAAAATTCCCTAACAGTGGAAGCCATAACAAACTATAATTGGGATCTGCTCGTTGTGGCTATATCACAATTCAAGAGAAAGACTCATTTGGATTCCTTCTCAACGGGCGGGGTTGGCTCAGTAGCTTGCATGGCTCTTTCCAGATCAGAAAACTCCAGTGGGACGAAACTTTTGGGATGAAATGGGGGAAAATTAGAAGCTCCAAAATGCGGGTGAATTGCCGTACTACGGTGCTGTACAGTTATAGTGTATGCAAGGTTCTAATCCAGAGCAGACCAGAACTGGGGAGCGGGCTGTGGCTGGACTGGCTGGAAGGTCCTCGCAAGGAGTTGTTGGGCTCAGGAAGATGCGTTGACTTCTGAACTCAAAGGAAGCAGAGAGAGGAGGGCTCCAAGGCAGCCTTGCCCAGATCGAAACACTGCCCACCTCTGGACCTTAGTGAAAGGTCACCATGACTTTTCTAAAGTCTAAAGGTGTGCAAAGGAGCGAAACACCTTTTAACGTGTAGTGTCTCCCTCTCCTCCTTGACAAGAAATGTATTTCCTGTTCTGTGTGGAATTCCAGGAAGCTGTGAATGTCAGTATTGGTGCCTAAGTTCATTTTGAAGCCCCTTCTCCTCCTCCTCCCCCCCCCCTCCAGGAATCTTGCCTGACAAGCGGATGGAGCTGGAGAAGCATAACCTGAATGTTGGTGAAGGCAGCCGGGCGATTGGGAAAAGTCCTGGCTCCCGTCCCCAGATTGCCAAAGAGTCTTCCATGGACAGAAGTCCTTATTTCGATAAGGTGAGACTTTTGGGGAGTCCAAAGGGGTGGGGAGAGGGGGACACCATGGTTGCCCATGACCCCAGGCCCGCTCTTCCTTCGACTGTGGATGCACGGGGACTCTCAAGGCGGACTGCTGAAGACAAGGGGCCATTTTGGGGGAGAGGAGGACTCTTTGCCTTCCTCCACCTTGCCTCTTCTCTTTCAAGCTTATGAGCTTATCGCTGCTTTCACTGTCGGTCCAGGGAGGAGCCGTCCTAGGGCTGTGCATATTGGGCAGAATGCATTTCAGTCCAAACCACAACCCAAAAACGGCAAGTTCTGCCAGAAGTCTGTGGAGATTCTCTGTCATCCAGGTCACGGTTGTCCCAGCGGTGCTTTTTCAAGAGGCAGCTGGACCGTCTTCTTTTCCTTTCAAGACGTTTCACTTCTCCAAGAAGCTTCGTGACTGGATGGTGGGGAATGGGAGCATTTATACTCCTTGCAGGCAGCTGGTATATCAATATAAATCCTTCCATTCCCCACCATCCGGTCAGAGCTGAAGAAGCTTCTTGGATGAGAAGCGAAACGTCTTCAAAGGAAAGCAAGAAAGTCCAGTTGCCTCTTGAAAAAGCACCTCTGGGCCATGTTCTGCCAGACTTTTAAGTAGGCTGAAGTTCGGTAGAACCAGGCCCCCAAACATTCTGGTGGTTCCAGATTTTAGCTTGGAAGATAAGCGGAGTGAGACTTTTCCACGTGAAGCAGAGGCCCCGGGCAGCTTTGCCCCTGGTCCATCTGCCTGCTTGGACAGGCCCATTTCAGCACAAAGCGCACACGAGAGCTGATCAGGGCGTGGATCATCAGCAACTCCCTGCTCTGTCCTGCTCCTTTCAGGAAGGGCTGGCATGGAGGGGAAATTTGGTTTTGTTCATTTTGTATTTGATGTCGAGTCAGAGAACTGCTGCTCGCCCCTGTGGTGACACTAACCTCTCTCCTGTTTTCTGCATCTGTTCCTGCCGCCGGCCGCTTCCCTCCCACTGCTGCTCGGCTTCTGCTTCTCCAGGATGGCCTGGTAGCCGACGATTCCCCAAACATGCAGTTCATGCCCAGTCAGAATGGGAAGTTTCCCCCTTCCAACAGTGCACTACCTAACCACGTCCTCAGCTCCCTAACGGGGCTGAGCGTGCAAAGCTTGAATTCTGTTAGACAGGTAAGGCTGGGAGCATCCCTTTCCCAGGACGTCCAGCAAGGCTTAAGGGGAGGTTGGCAGTCCTCAAGCAGAATCCCTGGTCTGTGGAACTACCAGCCCTTGACTTCTCCTAAGCAGGCATGTAGGAGGCACAGAGCCCTCCCCCCCGGGGGGGGGGAATGGGAGGCTCTCCATACTCAAATCTGCTAGAGAAGGCCCCCTGAATAAAGAGGATTGTCCTTTTAGGCCACCTCTTCCCTGTTGATTGTTGGAGTGAAATGCAACTTTATGCCACTGTGCTCTCTGCCTTTTCTGGGCGAGATTTCTGATGTACTTAGAGAATTCCTTCTTTCTTTCCCTCTTTGGCTGGTCTTCTGTCCATTTCCCAGCCTCGGATTTGTCTCCCCCTTGATGGCCTTTACTCTTCATCCCTCACTTTCTTTGGGTCTCCACTTGCTAAACTGCTTCCAGATTAGGCAAGCACCAGCCAAGCAGGCTTCTGTTTTGCACCTGCTTTTATCTTAATCTGGGACCTGATTGAATTCGGCAGCTCTTTTGAAAAGTTCAAGGAAAAGATGTAAAATTTACCCTTTTCAGAAGGGAGATTTGAAGACGAAAAAGGAAGGAAGGAAGGAAGGAAGGAAGGAAGGAAGGAAGGAAGGAAGGAAGGAAGGAAGGAAGGAAGGAAGGAAGGAAAAGAAGGGAGGGAGCGAGAGAGAGGTCTCGGTTTGGGGCTTGACCTTTCCTTGCAGTTGCCCCAACTATGGTTTGAAAGGGGCAGAGACCAACCATGGTGGTTGGGAAATCTGAAAAACATGGTTCTGATCTTTCTGAAGAAGCTCACTTTGACTGATTGTTCTCTCACCTAAATTGGCACCATTGTTCCCGGGTGAGGGCAAGGGAGGCTGGGCAGCCTTTAGGGAAATGTCCTGGCAGACGGGCTTGGTCGTGATGTCGCAATGCGCAGGACGTCACGTGGAAGTCTGAGGGGATGATTGGCCCCGTGAACGAAGGCCTTGGCTTCCCAGCTCACTTGTTGAGAAAGAGCGTTCTGCTTAAGAAGCCGAGCTCCATTAGGCTGGCTAGTCGCCAGAGGTATTTGTGCGTGGCACTTGAGAGGCAACCTCTGCAGGCATCAGGTTGGGGTGGAAGGAAGGGAACGGGGGTTTCTGCCCCTACCTGTCTCAGCCGGAGGGGCAGCGGCTCACTTGTCACCTATCCCTCTGCAGAACGGCAATCCCAGCCCCTTTGGAAATCTCACAGCACAAGCCCGGACGATGCAGCCATCTCCAGCACAGCCTCCTCTTCACTCCTCTCAGTCCAACCCCCGCGCTCAAGTGCCTCCTCCATTACTCTCCCCTCAGGTGAGGCTCCGCTTGCTTGTGGCCAGGTACAAGGATGCAGCGGCAATTTGGAGGGACAATGGAAGGGTCTCTCCTTTTCCTCTGCATAAGGCACGCTGCGAAATGCTAGCAAGACCACCTAGCTTGATTTCTGCCAAGCGTTCGTCAAGGGACCTTGTGGTATTTTGATTAGCAAGCTAATTATCTGTAGGTTGGCAGGCATGACGATTAAATGGACATGTGGCTGATTCACAAATTATGTTCGGAGATTATGATATCTGTTCAGTGCCCTAAGGTTGGGTTCTGGGCACTTTGCTCTTAATGACCTGGATGAAGAAATGGATGATGTGAATGCTTACCAAATTTTAGATAAAGCAGGGTTGAAGCAACTAATGCCTTAGGAAAAAAAATTGAAAAGTCTCAAAGGTTTTGATAAAGGGACTGAGAAAAACCCAAATTTAACAGGGAGATGCAGACTTTTTTTTAATCACTAAAAGAAATAAAATGTGTACTTAGCGGAGTTGGGGTGAGAATGGGGTCAGCTGAGAGGCTTTGCAGGTGCCCTGCCAATTTGGCAGGAAGTTGAGGAGCAGCTGCCCTGGGTCTGGCGGTGGGGCGTGGCTGGGAGGAGGGAAGAGAGAAGGCTTGGTGAAGGTGATAAAGAATACCTTTTTCAGCAATCAACAGTATTTGTGAAAAAATACCTTGGAATATTAGTTGATTGCAAGCTGAATTTGAGTTCGCAGGCTTATATGGCTGCTTAAAAGGCAAGTGCAATTTTAGACTGCATCAACACGTGTGGCTTGCTAGTCGTAGAAATTAATCCTTCCATTTCATGGTGTATTCATTAGATCAGTGGTGACGAACCTATGGCACGTGTGCCAGAGGCGGCACTCAGAGCCCTCTCTGTGGGCACGCATGTCATGGCCCGGAGATGGCAACTGTCCCTCTTCAACCAGCCGCCTGCTAACTCGCCGAGGTCCCACATGGCTGGATGCATCCCGTCCCATCCCTCCTGGCTTCGCATCCTCTCCTTTTCCCGGGCACGACCCACTGCATTGCCTCCTCAGCTGTCGGCCGGCCATCCAGCTCAGAGGCAGCTTCTTTGAACTGCTGGCGACGGGCTGAGGAGCGCCAGAGTGCGCCGGTCAAGGGTCCCGCAGGCTGTGGCTGCTGATGGACACTGTCAGCCCCCATGTGCTCACTGGCCTCTGTGTGCGGGGGCCGATGGTGTCAGATAGCAGCCTGCCCGGCCCTTGCCTTGCCTCATGGCAATGGCACCCCTGCCCTGCCTCACCTCACTCTGCAGGACGAGCTTCCTGCCTCCTGCCCCACCTGCCAGAGACCCCCTGGATCTCCCCCAACCCTACCCACCCCCCACAGGCATCCCTCCCCATGAGCAACATTGAGGTGACCACACCCACTCAATCTGCCATGACCACCACAGCCACGCCCACCCAGTGCCCACCTGGCACCCGGCGATAAGTGGGTTTTGGGTTGCAGTTTGGGCACTCGGTCTCTAAAAGGTTCGCCACCGCTGCATTAGATCCTTCCTCGGGTATTGTATCCAGTTCTGGCCAGTATTGTTAAAAGGATTCCGATAAACTGGATCAGGGAAAGGCAAGGAAGGTGATCAGAGGACTAAGAAGGATAGCCCACGAAGAGAGCGCAGAGGAATTCGGGTTAAGAGATAGGTAGTCTTCAGCTTAAGACAGCAATTGAAGTGGAATTTCCCTTACTAAATAATATGGTTGAAAGTGAAACCACATCACTTAGCAACGGCAATCCTTGCATTCCCAGCTGCCGTTATTAACTGAATCCCATGTTCATTAGCTCAAGTAATGACCTCCCACAACCAGGTCAGTTGGAGAAAGGGCATGAGTGCTCGGCACAAGTGGAGAGGGGCTGGAGAGGCAAGGGAGACTTACCCCAGTGACTTGCAACCTTCTCTGCCAGCTTCCCCATTGATTTCAACGTTTGTAGGTTGAGGGGCACCTATAGAACTTTTCAAGCACCTAAAAAGAGGTGTGTTACCTCCCATCCTAGAGCGCAGGTGACAGACGAATAAATTTCAGCTCCCAGAAGGCAGTTCTGGTTGATAGAAAAGCCTCCCTAACGGCGAGAGCAATTCAGCAGTGAAGCCAGTTACAGATCGCGATGGTCAGATCCTGGGTCTTGGATTAGATGCGTTTAGAGATTAAACAGGCATTTGGCGGATTCTTCAAAGTCCTGCATGGAGGAGAGTCCAAAGTCAAAGCAAAAAACACAGATCTGCAGCAGCATACAGAATTGTATGTGCCCCAAGTCCATTCTTGTTGTCCTCTTTGCTATCAAAAGTTCTGTTCTGACAACTTCAAGGCATCAGGATCTGCTAGAGGTGCTTTTTCCCTTGGCCTCTCCTTTACGGCATGCTCTTTGGGCACTTTAGGTTCCAGTATCCTTGCTGAAGTATGCACCAAACACCGGGGGCCTGAGCTCACTCTTTGGCCCACAACAAGTAGCCATGTTGAACCAACTCTCCCAGTTGAACCAACTCTCCCAGTTACAGGTAAGCGGATGTCCGACAGTCTGCTCCCCACCCTTGAGATTAGTGGTCTGAATTAGCACGTGTCCTCGCTCTGACCTCTTTTGCAACCCTGGTTTACTGTCTTAGCGATTGCTGGCCCAGCAGAGGAAAGTGCAGGGCCAGAGGAACACGCCTGCAAATGGCCGCCAGGAGCAGCAGCAGCAGCAGCAGCAGGTAGGCTGCATGCTGGGTGTTTTTAAAGATTTTTTATCCTCCGACGTTGAATGAGATTTCCAAGAAAGTCTGGGTGGCTTTTGGAAATGCATTTGCCAAGTGCTGAATTGGAGGCACGGAGACCAGTTGCAATGGGCATCTTGCTTTGTGGATGTTGCACCATGGAAACTGCATATCCATACTGCCCTGGCCCTTTCATCCTTCCCAAGCTTTGAATGTGAAGAGAGTGGACAGCCACTTGGATTGGCGTAGGGGGTTGGGCTAGAGTAGAGGGTTGGACTAGAAGACCTCCAAAGTCCTTCCAACTCTGTTATTCTGTATTCATATTAATAGCAAAATGAATGTGCAAAACAATCTGTAATTCGGTTCAGCGTCTACAAAATGGTTCACCATTTAGAGTTGACCCCATGTGGTTTGGAATTCATAGCTGTGGTCTTCTGACTGAAGAAGAAACCGTTTTGTTGACTTAACTCTAGTTAAGTTAATAATTAACAGTAATTGTTAAGTTAATAATTAATAATTCAGCACTGGAAGCATATCATGCTACTGGTGGATTGTATCGTAGCTCCATTATTCATTTGGTCCTCTTTTGTGTTTGAAGAATCGCCCTCTTAATATGCAGCAACAAATGATGCCACCATCTTGTCAGCTCGATCCAAGTCTGCTGATGAAGCAGCAGGTGCCTCCATCACAACAGCAATTCCATCAGACAGCCATAAAATCTTTCCTGGAGAATGTTGTTCCCCATGCTAACCAAGAGTTGCAGAAGGGGCCATCTCAAATCAACGCATTCAGCAACTTTCCTATAGGTGAGTACCTTCTCCACTGGTTGAGGTCTTCCAATGTACTCTGGTCTCCTGGAGTTGGGTTTGACCATGGGCTGCCCAGCTAAGCCACTTTCTTTGCTCTGTATTATCCTGCTGGTGGAAGGTTTTCTGAGTGAGGTCAATAAAATCCAACGTCCAAAACCTGTCAGTATCGTGAAGAAATGATATTCGGCACTGCACAAGGAGGGGAGGATCAGGTGTCAGAATTTGCAAATTCTGATCCAATTCTCTTCCAAGCTTTTTTTGCCTCCAAACTCCAGTCCTTGTTTTCCTGTCCCATCTGGTGCTCGGGCTCTGCATTCCTGTGCAATATTCAGAGGAAAGATCCCAGGGCATTGTTAAATACAAAACGAGAAACCAGGAACAAATTCTTGATTGAGAAAGATTCTATTAGGCAGTGGAGACTTAAGTGCTTTGGGGGGGAAGTTAAGGATGAAATTCATATTAGAAAAGAGAACTTGGCAAATGTTCTAGGAAAAGTGGCCACCTTCCCCTCTCTCCTATTTCCTGGTGCCGTTCTTTGTTTTCAGTGTGTCTTTTGCTTTGCTTCCCATCTGGGGGAAGTCTAGTGGCATTTATTTATTTATTTATTAAAATTTATAGACCGCCCCACTCCCGCAGGACTCTGGGCGGTTAACAATAAAAATACCATATAACATGACAAAACAAGCAATACAATAACATTCATCCAGGGGTCAGATTTTATAAACCCCAGGCCTGCCGGAAAAGCCAGGTCTTAAGTAGCTTGCGGAAGACCAACAGGGTGGGAGCGGTCCTAATCTCCGGGGGGAGCTGGTTCCAAGACGTGGGCGCCATCACAGAGAAAGCCCTCCTCCGCGGCCCCGCCAAATGGCACTGCTTGGCCGACGGGACCTGAAGGAGGCCCAGCCTGTGGGATCTAACCGGACGAAGGGAACTATGAGGTAGTAGGCGGTCACGCAAATAGCCAGGCCCTGAGCCATATAGAGCTTTAAAGGTAATAACCAACACCTTGAATTGGACCCGGAGACCAATAGGCAACCAGTGCAGCTCACGGAGGATAGGTGTGACGTGGGTGTACCGAGGAGCACCCACTATCACTCGCGCAGCTGCATTCTGGACCAACTGTAATCTCCGAATACTTTTCAAGGGTAGCCCCATGTAGAACGCGTTGCAGTAGTCCAGACGTGAGGTGACAAGGGCATGAGTGACTGTAAGGAGAGCCTCCCGGTCCAGGTAGGGTCGCACCTGGTGCAGCAGACAAACTTGTGCAAAGGTCCTCCCAGCCACAGCCGTCAAATGATGTTCCAATTTCAGCTGTGGATCAAGGAGGACACCCAAGTTGCGAACCCGCTCCGAAGGGGGTATATTTTCCCCTGCAAGAGTCAACACTGGACAGTCGACATGATCCTTGGGAGGCAACATCCAAAGCCACTCGGTCTTGTCAGGATTGAGCCTGAGTCTGTTAACCCCCATCCAGACCCTCACGGCTTCGAGGCAACGGCCCATCACATTGGCCGCTTCACTGAGAGAGTTCGGGGAGGAGATATATAACTGGGAATCATCAGCATACTGATGAAACCTCACCCCGTGCTGTCTGATGATCTCACCCAGCGGCTTCGTATAAATGTTAAATGGGAGGGGGGAGAGGACCGACCCCTGCGGCACCCCGCATTCAAGGGGCCTCAGGGTTGACCTCTGCCCCCCCACCAGTACCGATTGCTACCGGCCAGAGAGGTAGGAGGAGAACCACCGTAAAACGGTGCCTCCCACTCCCACCCCTTCGAGTCGTCGCAAAAGGATACCATGATCGATGGTATCAAAAGCCGCTGAGAAGTCAAGTAGCACCAAGACAGAGGAATAACCCCTCTCGGGCCCGCCAGAGATCATCCATCAGCACGACCAAAGCAGTTTCTGTGCTGAAGCCGGGCCTGAAGCCAGATTGAAAAGGATCTAGGTAATCCGCTTCATCCAGAGACCGTCGGAGCTGGAGCGCCACCACTCTCTCTACAACCTTCCCCAAAAAGGGGAGATTGGAGACTGGGCGGAAGTTATTTAAATCAGCCGGGTCCAGGGTAGGCTTCTTGAGAAGGGGCCTCACAACCGCTTCCTTCAAGGGTTGCGGGAAAGACCCCTCCCTCAACGAAGCGTTGATCAACACCTGGAGCCAGCCTCGTGTCACCTCCTTGGCGGCCGAGACCAACCAGGAAGGACACGGGTCCAATAAACAAGTGGAGGCGCTCATCGCTCCCACCGCTCTGTCAACATCCTCAGCGGTCACCGACTCAAATTCATCCCATAAAACTGGGCTAAGACCTGCCCCGGTCATCTCAGAAGGCCCTGCCCAATCGGAGTCTAGGTCTGTCCGAATCCGAGCGATTTTGTCTGATAGAAACTGCACAAATTCTTCCACCCTACCCTGTAAGGGCTCCCCAGCTTCCCGAACGTTAAGTAGGGAACGGGTCACCCTAAACAGGGCGGCGGGGCGAGATTCTACAGACACAATAAGTGTGGAAAAATGCGAACATTTTGCCGCTCGTATCGCCACTAAATAAGTCCTAATATGGGCTCTTAAAAGTGTCCAGTTGGGTTCGGAGTTACTAGCCCTCCAGCATCACTCTAGATGTCTCTTCTGACGCTTCATCTCCTGTAGCTCCTTGGTAAACCAAGGTGCCCTCCGGGATCCACAATCACGGAGAGGTCGCAAAGGCGCAAAGATCCACGTGCTGGATCTTCCATGATACGAGGGAGGGATGTCCTAGAAAAGGAGCTGCTCTGAGTCTCACCAATTCTCTTAATGCAGGAATGAACGCAAACTTGAATGTAAATATGGATATGGGCAGTATTAAGGAGCCGCAGTCCCGGCTGAGAAAGTGGACAACTGTGGACAGTATTTCCGCCAACACATCTCTGGATCAGAATGCCAGCAAAAATGGTAAGTTAAGCCAGGATGAGCGGAACAAGCCTCAGTGGGAGCTCAGTGGCCAAGGGTTCTTGTGTTCTTTGTATTATCAGTTTTGAAATGCATGAAGAAAATGTCTCTATATCAGAGCTTCATTTTTAAAAATGAAGAATGATCTGATATGTTTGAATCACAGTGAACCGGTCAGTAGAGCCCACAACAGGTTGCGTACTTACGATGCTTTTTCTCAAGCCCTGATTGCTTGGAAGCCAAGCACACAAGGGTGAAGCGTGCAGGGACCGGTTGGGCTCAGTGGCTGAGAATGAGGGCACGGTTCATTTTCTGGGGCTGGGGAGATTTAAAAGTTACTGCTTGTCAGATGTTCAGATAAGATAACCTTTATTGTCATTTTTTTTTTACTGTGGGCATACTGGCACACATTAGAAATGAAATTCTGTTGCCTGCTCTCAAAAGTGTACACATAGACGTATAAACATGTTATATATAGCATATATATATATATATACATACATATGAGAGAGAGAGAGAGAGAGAGAGAGAGAGAGAGAGAGAGAGAGAGAGAGAGAGAGAGCATGGAAGTTTTTAAGAAGAGACTGGACAGCCATTTGTCCTGCCTGAGCAGGGGGTTGGACTAGACGACCTCCAAGGTCCCTTCCATTTGTCCTGCCTGAGCAGGGGGTTGGACTAGATGATCTCCAAGATCCCTTCCAACTTTACTACTATTACTATTACTATATACCTACACTCTTACATATAAATACATATAAATATTAATCACTGTCCATCTTGAATACAGAGCGGAAAGAGGAAGCTTGAGAGCAGAGATGTAACAAACTGTCCAGCCTTTTTAAGAAGTTGGGTTCAGGATGAGAACTCCCATCAAGCTTAGCACAGGCCAGGGGTAGGCAACCTTGGCTCTTTCATGACTCGTGGACTTCAGCAGGACTTGCCTGTTTTTTGAATCTTCTGTGTTGGTTTTAGAAACTAGAAGGGTTTGGCACGGATTACACATGTTACAAGATACATATTTGAGGGGCTCATCTCCCCAGTTGCATCTACCTGTCTCACCAGATCCAGTTGCAGAGGCATTGCTACAGGTCTGATCCACTAAAGAATGTTACCTGGTGGGACCCAGGAAGGGAGTCTTCTCTGCCCTGGCACCCAACCTGCATGGAACACCCCCCCTCCCCAGATCTGAGACTGGCCCCCTAGGAAGGGCCTGAAGACTGATAGGCCTGAGACATGATAGCAGTGTTCCAGTATTTGAGGGGGTCACATTATTCTCCAAAGCCCCAGAGGGCAGGACAAGAAACAATGGTTGGAAACTGATCAAAGAGAGAAGCAACCTGGAATTAAGGAGAAAGTTCCTAACAATGAGGACAATTAACCAGTGGAACAGCTTGCCTCCAGAAATCGTGGGCGCTCTATCACGGAAGGTTTTTAAGAAGAGACTGGACAGTCACTTGTCTGAGATGGTATTGGTTCTCCTGCTTGAGTGGGGGGGGGCTGGACTAGAAGACCTCCAAGGTCCCTTCCAGCTCTGTTCTATTCTAACTTGGCTCTGCCATGCTGTCTGCTGGGTTGGCAGTCGTGGTGAGCCTTGGCAGTGGCTATGTTAAATGGACACATGATTTATAGTCACCTGCTGACTACCAGTATGCTTTACTGACTTTTTAATCATGATTTTAGGATAGCTCTTTATTTTTGTGAAGTTTCTGTTGTTTTAATTGTTGCGAACTGCCCAGAGCCACAGTTGTGAAGTGGGTGGCTGCACGAAAAAAGTAAGAAATGGGGGCAAGTCTTGCTCCAGTAGTGCAGTAATCTTTGGAAGATGCCAGATGGAGCTTTGCAGGAGCACACAGCCTACCTAATAGCAGATGCAGAAAAGTAACCAGATCTTGTCAGACTGTGTCTGCCCTTCGCTATGGTTCTGCTGGTTGAGGCTGATGGGGAGCTAGAAATTGGCCATCATGAGAAGGCTATGTGAGGTTAGTTGTCAGCTTCTCAGGATGAAGTTCTGGAAAAGGATCTCTCCCTTGCTTTTCAGGTGCTATTTCCAGTGGCTTTAGAATGGAGGAGACGTCGTCCTTTGTTCCCTACGACTTCATGAGCAGTAGTAACTCACCAGCCAGCCCACCTGGATCTGTGGGGGATGGCTGGCCACGTGCCAAATCACCAAACGGTTCAAGCAGTGTCAACTGGCCACCAGGTGAGTCCCTACAAAGATAGCCTCCGCTGAACCCTTTGGCCCGTATTGGAGGTGTCAACCAGGCCTTTTCTGTGGCTTGTGGGATAAGAGGAGATTTTACCCCAGGAGCAGACGAGGAGGATCCCGGGGAGCATCGTAGCCCCAGTCAGGGTAGCCGTCAGGCTCGCTCTTTCCCATCCCCGGACAGGTGAAGGGGCCGGGCAGATGCCATGAGACAGACCAGCTGTGGGGAAGCCTCAGGAGGCCTGTCTTTCAGGGGTCTGGTTGGAGCCCAGCTGCTGCTCGGGAAGGTCTTATGCTCTCCATGGTTACGGGTTGTGTGTCCAAGGAAAACGGAAATTACAAATCCCAGCATAGTTGCGTTTAGACCATGTTAAAGAATGTGGTGGAATTTTGTAATATTGTGACTTCCTAAAACAGTAAAATGAATTTGTCCTGACCCTTTCAGTAAGAAATTGAATTACAGGTAGTCCTCAACATACGACCGCCATTGAATCCAAAATTTCTGTTGTTAAGTGAGATGTTTGTTGGCTGCGTTTTGCCCCATTTTACGACTTTTCTTGCCACAGTTGTTAAGTGATTCACTCCAGTTGGTAAATTAGTGACCCGGTTGTTAAGTGAATCTGACTTCCTGTTGAGACTTTGCTTGTCAAAGGGTTACAAAAGGGGATCACGTGACCCCCCTCCCCAGGACACGGCAAATGTCATAAGTAGGAGTCTGTGGCCAAGCATCTGAATTTTGATCACGTGGCCCTCCCTGGGGAGGCTGCCAAGTGTGAAAATTAGTCGTGTCGCTTTTTCCAATAACGATGTAACTTTGAATGGCCACGCAGTGAACGATTGTAAGCTGAGGAGGACCTGTATTTCTTGGGGGCTGGAGGTGGGCAAGAAATAAATCAACAGAGAGAGACTCATTGGGTTCTTTCCATTAGGGCCAGCAGCCGTTGGGGGGAGGGGGGAGAACAGCCTCCTTCCCAGGGAGAAGCCCTGATTGCCAGGCTTTTGCTTTTCTTTTTAAATCCTAGAATTTCGCCCTGGTGAGCCGTGGAAAGGTTATCCAAACATTGACCCAGAAACTGACCCTTACGTTACTCCTGGCAGCGTCACAAACAGCCTGTCAATTAACACTGTGCGGGAGGCTGACCACCTCAGGGACAGGAACAGCGGTAGGGGCGGCATTTTCGGGGTTCTGGAAAATCATCTCAGCAAAGCCTTCCCCCCATCCCCGCCCGTCTCCTTGGCCAACTGGGTTTTCAAGCCTCCCCAGGAAGAAAGTGCAGCAGTTGGGGAGATCCAGCGCACCGCAAGGCGATGCAGGGAAGATCAGCGGGAGAGACGGGCACTTGCCCTTCGCCCTCCTGGCCATCGGAGGAGGCAGACGGGGTGGTGGGCCTGCAGGCGTCTTGTTCCCTCCAGCCCCGGCCTCGGGAGAACAGGCCAGAATCCACAGCTCAGGGGGTGCCTCAAGGGGACTTGATCTCCTGCAGGCTGGGCAGTGTTGGCGAAGAGGTCCCAAGAAGGGGTTCCTTGATGACCAAGTGGGGCTTGGTAGCCGCCCTCCATCGCTGGCTCCCCCCTCTGCGTTTTGATGGAGCCAGCCCCATGTTAAAGCTGCAGCCCTGAAGGCGAACTGAGCTGGGTCTGCACATCCCCATTGTCTGCCTCGTCCTAATGGCTGCCACCCCTTTCCTCCCCAGGGTCATCCTCAGCTCTGAACACCACGCTGCCTTCAACTAGTGCCTGGTCATCCATTCGTGCCTCCAACTACAATGTTTCCCTCAACAGTACAGCACAAAGCACTTCTTCAGGTGAGACCAGCAGGTGGTCAGGCCCTGCAGCCCCCTCCTCCCGCCCCCCCGCCCCCGAACCCTTCCTCCTGCTTCCCTCCTGAGCCTTGCAGCCCCCAAGGCAGTGGTGTTTCACGGTCCTTTTCTCCTTCCAGCCAGAAACAGTGACTCCAAATCCACTTGGTCTCCTGCTTCCGTTAACAACACCTCTCTGGCCCATGAGCTATGGAAGGTCCCTCTGCCACCCAAGAGCATCACGGCTCCATCACGGCCGCCCCCTGGACTGACCGGGCAGAAGCTGTCTCTGCCCACGTGGGACAACTCTGTACGATTTGGGGGTGGCTGGAGCCATTCGGAAGCCAGATACACCCCTGGTAAGAATCTGCTTCCCATCCCGTGCTCCACCCTTGCCCTGCTTGGCTGATGGCAGGCCATGTCTGTGCTCCAAGAGGAGGTGCCCTTTTCCCCCCTGGAACCAGGGCCTGAGGCCTGGGCAGAAAGGAAGCGGCTGCCCAGCCCTTGCCAGGCCTCTCCTCCTCAGTCAGCCATTGGCTGCCTGTCAGAGAGTTTCCCCACCTGCCGCCATGCAGACCTGCGTGGAGACGTTGGCCAAGACCCCTCAGTTAGACTCGTCCCTTCCTTGTTGGCGGGGAAAGGCCTCTGCTCTCTTGATAAGCCTACTCAGTGGGTCTCTGCCCCTTGCAAATTGTCCCCCGGCCAAGGTCAATCGGTGGTGCAATCTTTGAAGTGGGCATTTGAGCAAAACGCTGAGCGACGCTATTTGGGGCGAGTCTCGTGAAAGTGGGAAGAGCGCCGAGGCTCCCGGGGTCTCCCCAGGTCCCCTGCTTTGCGAAGCATTCCGGGGTTATCGGGAGGTGTATTTTCTCTTTCAGGTTCCAGTTGGAATGAGAATAGCAGCTCAGGGAGAATCACCAACTGTCTCGTCCTGAAGAACCTCACACCTCAGGTGAGTCACCCTTGGGGGAGGTATTTTGGCCTGGGGGATCCGGGCCCCTCCCCCTCCTGGCCAGGACTGGCAGCAGCAGCTCAGGGGGGCCACCCCTTGTCTCTGTGCCCAGATTGATGGCTCCACTCTGCGGACCCTCTGCATGCAGCACGGGCCCCTGATCACATTCCACCTGAACCTCCCCCATGGCAACGCTTTAGTCCGGTACAGCTCAAAAGAAGAGGTGATGAAGGCACAAAAATCCCTCCACATGTGAGTAGCCCCCAAACAAACGTGCAGGAACGGAGGGGAGCCGCAGGGGAGAGGCACACGGGTTACTGGGCAGAGCCATCTTTGGAACTCAGACCTTTGACAAAGGGCCTGGCAGGGCTGCCTTTTCTTTCCAATTAACCTGCTCTTAATAGACCTGGTTTTATTTGCCACTTAATTGGCTGGATTCTCCTGCAAAGGATGCCTCTTTTTTTATTACCGCAGAGCGGTTGCCGTAGTATAAACTAAGTGGGGAAATGGTTGTCACGGTTGCTTTCGGTGTGTGAGGGGCTTCGAAGAAGAGGAGGAGGAGGAGGTAGTCGTGGGGGGGGGGACAGGTTGTGTGCTCTGCAGGCTGCTGCCATCTCACGTGCCTCTCGCTGGCTTTGTGCACAGGTGCGTCCTCGGGAACACTACAATTCTGGCTGAGTTTGCCAGCGAAGAGGAGATTAGCCGCTTCTTTGCACAAGGCCCGTCTCTGACCCCAACCCCCGCCTGGCAATCTCTGGGCACCAGCCAGACCCGCCTGGGGACCATGGACAGCCCCCACGCATTCTCCAACCGCAGTGACCTGACCCCTCCCTGGAGCGGTCCTGGGCTTTCAGGAACAAGCAGTGGGGACCTCCACGGCACCTCCCTCTGGGGCAGCCCCAACTATTCCACCAGCCTCTGGGGCTCCCTGGGCGGCAACGACACCAGGGGCCTTGGCAGCCCCTCCCCACTCAATGCGTTTCTCTCCGTTGACCATCTGGGGGCCGGGGGAGAGTCCATGTAACCTTGTTTAGGTGTGAAAAACTGACCTCAAAGCAGCACTAAATTTGGATTCCCCCCCTCCCCACCTGCAGCCTCTAGGGGTCAACTGTGGAAATGGTTACGTCGTGCACATTTTTCCTCTTTGTTTTAGCCCAAAACATACCAGTTTGAATACTTGAATCATGCAGGCCAATATTATAATGTGAAAAGTGAAAAGATTTACATTTCCAGGTAGTACATTGCATAATTCAGCCAGTTTCCTACATAAGATCATCAGTTAACTTGCTTGTTTTCCTTGATTTTTTTTTCCCCCCCCTTTGGCGACTTGCTGAAAATGTTGGAGGTTGAGCTTTTTAAGCTTTGCACAGACTTGGTCCTTCTTGTATGAATGGTAGCGGTGGCAGCTCCTCTCCTCCCCCCCCCCCCGGGCAATGTTTTGTGGTGGGCAGGCAAGGGGGTGTCTGCTTTGGGTCGGGACGAGCCCCGCTGCCCCTGCGGGTCTGCCTGCCTGGCCACTCGGCACCAGGTGGCCGTCCGTGGTGCCAAACGGCCGGGGCGAAGTCTCTGCCAGGATGACGGGCAAAAAACGTGTTGCACCTGCCGGCTCCTGTGGAATCGGGCGGACGGAGCCGAGCAGTTCCTGACGCTGCACACCCAGCAGCCGCCTGGCTGGTGCCCTGCACTTTCAAGAGGCGTTTGGCTTTTGTCTTTTATTTGGGGGGGGGGGCTCCTGTTGGGCCACTGCCTTGTTTACAGAAGTTTTTTCTTTCTCTTTTTTTTTTAAGAAACAATGTTTACTCTTCTTCCATCACTTAGCTATTTTTTAAAAAAACAAAAGATGTGGATGATAAAGATGCTTCCTCTTGATCTCTGGGAATCACGGGCCGTGCGCGGCCACGTTCCACTTGTTTTTTCTATCCCCCTCCCGATCCAAGAGCCTGGCTCTCAGGAAAACGAAGGTCCCCAGTAGAGCTCCTTGTCGTTTCTTATAGGAAAATAACTTTTAGCACTGATTATTACTTGCTCGGTAAAATGACTTCTGCCAAAAATTGCTTCGATTCGCTGGAGTTTGACATTCTGTGCTTTCTGATGCTGTCTTTTTAATAGTGCGGGCGGGGGGAAGAGGGGGGGGGCTTGGCTGGTAAACTGTAGTTCCCTCTTTTCGTAAAGCCCACCCCGGCTCCCCCCTTCCCGCCCCCCCCCCGTTGTGCCATTGATGCTCTTCCTGCTCTTGTGACTGTGTTTCATGTTTAACCTTAAAGCTGAAGTAACTATGCAGACTGTAACCAAGGATTTGGAATTACAGAACTTTGTTGTATAAATTTTAAATGTTTAAAGTTCCTGCAAATACTTTTCTTGTGAAAGTGTTAAACTCCATCTTCCTTTTTTGCCACAAATGGTATTATCTGATGCTTGTTTAGTCGGAGAATGAAATGCTAAACAAGGATAAAAAAAAAAAAAACCTTTTAACTGTGCCGAAAGATGCTCTCATTTCATTGCCTTGATTCTAACTGTTGTGTCTGAAGATGCAAAAGTTGTCAGTGGCTTTTTAACTGTTTACAAATAGTGTGTGATTGTAAAATGTACAGTTTGGGTTGTGTTCAAATTATGAAGCTTCTCCAGATATTAATAAATCATGACTTTGGGGGCTGCTTATCTCTTGTGTTGGACTTCTTTGATTTTCTCTCCAGCAGAACCTGCAGCCTTCGCCATCTGCAGGTACTGGACTTACCTGGAGAGATCCTGACCCAGTTGGCTTCTTCACTGTGCAGACAGCACAGGTGCCATAGAGTAGTTTAAATATAATGTTTTCAAAGTTCTGACAATTCTGTACTGTTGCATCTCCAACACTTTCTTCGACATAAAATTAGAATTGGCCTTTGACCTGAGTAGCAGAGATAAAGTCCGCAGCCTGAAGTTTTTCATCTTGGCAGCTTCACTTCTAAGCATTGTAGAAGAGGCTGGCCAGACAGCTCACGGATGCTGTAAATGGCTCCCTGCAGGTTGCAGAGGGCTGAGGAAGATGATCCCTGTGGTCCCTTCCAAGCCTCTGATTCTAGAAAGTTTCACGGAAAGAATTGTCTGTGTTGGGGGTCAGCCTGCCCAGGTTGTTTTGATTTGACTAGTTCCATTTTCTCAAAGAGGAAGTTAGGCCTCTGGGTGTTGGGCTGTAAAAAAGGAGATGATCATGGAATCGGTTGAACTGCAAAGTCCCATCTCTTAAAAGCCCTCCCTCAGTGGAAATAATAAAAAAAAAGTACTCCTGCAGGAGTAACATTGGCTAACAAAGATCCTCTGATTTTTCCAACCTGGCCTGGGATTCCCAGTACTGAGAACAGCCGCTCTGGTGCCAAGTGGAAAAATGCCCCAACTCGGGAGCAGAGAGGCCAGACTTATGGATGGCACGAGTGACAGGACTATCTCAGTGGCCCTGATGGCCCTTCTTGTGTGGCTCAACTCTGGAGGGCCAAAGGGGATGAGGTGGCTGCCCTGAGCAACAGAGCAGAGCCTCTAGTTCAGTGGTTCTCCACCTGTGGGTCGGGACCCCATTTGGGATCGAACGACCATTTCACGGGGGTCGCCAAACAACGCAGACCGCCATTTTTTCCCCTCTTTTCCTTAGCTGTGCTACTCCCTTTTATTCTATTGGCTTTTGAAAGCCAATAGAAGAGACTCTCTTGAATAGAGTCTAATTCTATTGGCTTTCAAAAGCCAATAGGAATTGTCCAGGCTGTCTCTGCCCTGCTGAGCCCGCCAAAAGTCCCATTCTGCAAATGGTGCTGCACCAGTTGAGTAGTCCTCGACTTACGACCGGTTGGGGGTCGCGGCATTAAAAAGGTTGAGAACCACTGCTCCAGTTCTTTGCAGATCCATTTAACCACCTTTCAGATGCTCACCAATGAAGGCAGTATAAGAGCCATTGAAGCAGATTGTTTCCAAAGAAATGGGAGTTGAACTAACCTTGCAAATAAGAGATGGAGGTTTTTGCACCTATGCAGAAACTGCTACTAGAATCAGTTAAGAAAACATACTCCATTGTCAAATCAAGCCAGAAATATACTGAAATTGAACTTTGCGTTACACAGGTGCTGGTGAAGGAGGGAGAGTGAGATTGCATAGTCTGCGATGGTACACGTGGCCAGCACAGTGCCCAAAATATATCCCAAGGAGAATGTTTCCAGGCCAGTGGGAAAGGCCTGTGGTTCACCCTGCCACCTTTTCCAGAAGAGGCCAGCAACTTCATTTGCAGCTGCAGGAATTCTTGCCCTGCCCTCAATTGGGCACCCATGCCTGCTTTGTGGCAGCATTTTGCAATGCATTCCCTTTAAGACGGGGAATCCTCATTCCCACAAGTCACTGACCACGGGAAGATGGCAGCTGCGCCACAGGTGGAAAGCAGGATCCATCATCGCCCTGACGGAAAGCATCTGTGTGATTTGCCCCATAGCGGGCCGCAGAGATGCTTGTCCTGTCACTGGACTCCCCTGGCCAGTTCTCCCCAGAGCCAACATGCCCGCCCTTTAACGAGGCAAAGGGGTCATGGGTTGGTTCTGGTCCCGAATGGCTGTGCAGGCTCTTTGGAATGGCTCCCAAGGTTGTCCTGGCTGGCTGTCCCTGTCTTCTGGGGAGCCTTTGGACCTTGATTCGGCCTTGGGCTTGCTGATAATCCCATTTCACTCCTTGGTGGGCCTTGCTTTGGTATTTTCTGCTGCTGCTTGTGAATCTTGCCAACTGACAAGAACTTTAGGTAAAGTACAGTCTTGATGATGCAAATAGTTACCTGGCTTTAGATGAGTCCGAAAGAAATTAGTGACCGAATACACTGCTTGTTTGGGTTCAAGCAACACAATTACTTAATAAACATCCAGTTCTGCTCAACTGCACTGAAAATAGGATTATTGTTTTTATAAAGCTCTGAAGAATCTCCCAGGTCAAGCGACTTGCCCAATCCTTAGTTGTGCACTGGATCAACCAGCACAGGTGACTCTATTTGCCAACTCACCAATTTGGGCAAATGTACCATATGGACACAGTTGCATAAAGCAAAGGAGAAAGCCAGATACTATTTCTCTAACCTGGTTGAAGTTTATTTCTCATCCAAATGGCACTGGGCATACAGGCTGTACTCTCCAGTGGACATATGTGTGCCCAGTGCTCAGGACTGCATCACTGTAGCAAGTGGTCTTCCTACAGTCACTTCGAAAAGCTCACAGGAATCTAGAACCGAATATCGCACTTGGGGAAGTCTTGAGAAACATAGTTTTAAAAACAGGGATAGACTAAAGGCATAAGAATTTTTCATATTTATTCTGAAGTCCAACATTTACAGCTTTAAATAGGACAGACAAAACTCTTCCTCGGAGAGCCATAGTGATTCCAAACCGCAAAGGGGTTGGCTTGCCAGCGTAGTCCGTCTCGATCACTTCATCCAGCTCTCGGAACAAAACAGGAGATACCTGTGAGCGAGGTAGGAAGGGAATATTTGTACCTTGCATAAGGACCACCGGAAAGGAACTTGGGCAGTAGCTACTTGAGTCAAAACTGTCAAGAGCAGCCAGTTCCGATGGGTTCCACCAGGCAACAAGGGATCACTTGCCCAAGGATAAGGCCTCCATTTTGATCCATTTCAGCCAAGAACAGCAAAGGCACCCAACAGGCAGCTCAGGGAGTCAACCAAATGCATCGAAATCACTGCAGGGCTTTCAACTTTCAGGAGAGGCGTGGCCAGCTGAACACTAGCCAGACAGGCCTAGGGCGCAACCTGGATTCCTGGTTCCTGCCAGAAGAGCAAATGCCAGCCGTGGCCAGAAGGGCCTTCAGGCTGTGCATCAGTTGTACCTGTTCCTGGACTGGGAGGCCCTTGTGACCTTTTGGCTGGAGTACTGCAATGTGCTGCCCTTGAAGAGCATTCAGAAGCTTCAACCGGTACAGAATGCAGCTGCAGGGATAGTAAATGATGTCGGATATTCAACACATGTTAACCTCACTGTTTCGTGAGCTGCGTTGGCTGCCAGTATGTTTCCGGGTGCAATTGTATGAAACCATGGAGGCTTTTCCAGGGAATCAAGTGGTCACCTTTAAAGCTGTTTGTGGCTTTGGGGGCCAAGTTATCCGAGGGAACCATCTTCTCCCAGCCCTTTCTACCTGTCCAATTCGGGCCAGCAGGATGGGGAAGCTGTGGGTCCCATCAGCCAAGGAATGTTGGCTGGTGGGGAGGTGCCTTCTCTGCTGTAGCCCCCCCTCCCCCCCAGAACATTCCCTTCTGGAGATCAGAATGAGCCCCACCCTGCTGGTCTTTCACAAGGCTTCAAAACAACTGGCTATGTGCCCAGGCCTGGAGTTCCATATGTATGAAGTGTCTTAATTTCTTGGCTATCCTGACAATTGTGATACTTTTCTCAGCTACTGAATATATGAATTTTTATACTGTTTTAAATGCTTTGTTTTAGAAATATTCACTGCCCAAAATCACTTGGTTGGGGTGGGCAGCTAAAGAAACTAAACAAATAATTTGTCTGTGATCATCAAGTTGCCCTTTTGAACGTAAAAGTAAGCCAACCAGAGTTACTCTTTGCCAAGGCAGGATGTGCTGCTTCCTCCCCCATTATTCTGCTGTAATGAACAGAGGCACCCACTCCCAGACAACCTCCCAGCATTCATCAGCCAAAGCAAGAATATTTTCTGCCTCACCAAACACAGATAGGCGAGGAGATTATTGCTTGTAAAAGGCACAGCCCCTATTCTGCCCTGGTGAACATCTGCCTTGCAGCTGCTCTGGGCCAGTCCCTGTCCTCCCCGCTGGGCAGCCTGCAGCTCCCCTTCTGAAGCTTTTCAGGGGTGCTCTGCCATCTCTGATTTGACTGCTTGTGGCTCACACTAGCAGTCCACAATCCACCCCAGGAACATCCTTGACACTGAGGCTTCAACCCGACTTCGATTTGTCATGAAATTGCAACGCTAGTTTTCATTTTTCTGATATGCTGCTAAGGGTTTTTCTGAGAAGAAAAAATAGGATTAACAGTCCAAAGCGCTTTGCTTTCCTGCCCCTCCTGCTGTTAATGCTTTCTCCCTCCTTCCCACCAAATTTTCCAATATATTGTTACCCCAGAATCATAAGATGTAAACTTGGAAAGGATGCTAGAGATCACCTAGTCCAGTGTTTCCCAAACTTGACAATTTTAAGGCATGAGGATTTCAACTCCCAGAATTCCACAGCCAGCAACGCCGGCTGTGGAATTCTGGGAGTTGAAGTCCACATGCCTTAACATTGTCAAGTTTGGGAAACACTGACCTAGTCTTACCTCCTCTCACTGCAGGAATCACACTGTGTCAAAGGATGCTGGCCAGGAGCGGCTTTGCTCCCCGTCCAAATACTCTCGCCTCCCAGCCAGCCACCCATCTTCGCAGGCTGAAATGCAGGCCAAAGCCACCCACCTCCTAAGTCTCCCATGATGGGACCTGCTCCCCATTTCAATCCCTCCTTGCTGACCTCACCGCAAGATGATGTCCACTTACTCCACTTGAGAAACTCATTCGTACACGTCTTGCGTATCGGCAATATAATCGATGATATCTTGAGGACTCATCAGCTTTTCTGCTGCTGCATCTGGAATTTCAAACCCTGGAAGAGATTTGGCTCATTGAGTTCCGAGACGCCCAAGTCAACGAGACCAGGAGCCACAACCTCCGCCCTCCTCCCAACCAGCCCTGTGGTGCAAGGGGCCGCTTCCGTGGCGGGGAGGGAGGAGAATCAGCCGCACTCAGAGCTCAAAGCCCTCCAAGCAACGGGGGGGGGCTCTGGTGGACCCCCCCCCCCAGATCTGCTGAGCACAGCCGGCGCTCCGTTTTTCCTACATCTCTGCAATTGGGCGCGTATTCAGAGCAAGACCCCAGGGCGAGCGGGGCAGAGAGGGAAGTCCGGAGGCCTTCGCAACCCGTCTTCGGAGGCCCCTTCCTGGGCAGAGGCGGGAAGCTCAAAACAGGGCGAGGACCCAGGACCGGCCAGGCGGGCTGGGCGGTGCGGGCTGCGCTCGGGCGAGGCTCCCCCCAGGAAGACCCCCGGCCCGGCCTTACCGAACTCGTCCTCCATGGCCATGATGATCTCCACCTGGTCCAGGCTGTCCAGGCCCAGGTCCTTCATGAAGTGCGACTCCACCGACAGCTGCGGGACAACCAGGGCCGGTCAGAGGGGCTGCCCTTCCCCCCCCCCGGCGCCCCCTCCCCAGCCTCCCCGGCGCCCCCTCCCCAGCCCCCCCGGCGCCCCCTCCCCAGCCCCCCCAGCCCCCCCCGCCCCCTCCCCAGCCGCCCCCCCTCCCAGCCCCCCCTCCGCCGCCCCCTCCCCAGCAGCCCCCCCGGCGCCCCTTCCCCAGCCCCCCCACGCGCCCACTCCCCAGCCCCCCCACCCGGCGCCCCCCTCCCCCAGCCCCCACACGTGAGCACATCCCCGCCCCCCCCGCCCCCCCCCACCCCCCCCGCACAATAACCGACCCCCCGCCGACCCCTCCCAAGACCCCCCCGCCCCCCGACCCCGCCCCAGCCCCCCCGCCGCGACCCCCCCGCCGCCCCCCGCCCACCTTCTCGGGGTCGATCTTGTCGTAGAGCTTCAGCACGTAGAGCACCTGGTCCTGGATGCCCTTCAAGGTCAGCGTCGGCGCGTCCGAGTAGCCGCGGGGCCAGGGCGGCCGCCGGCGCGGAGCGGGCAGCCGCGTCCCGGCCCAGGCCGCGCCCGCCAGGCCCCGCCTCGCCCCCGGCGGGAGGAGCGGGAGGAGGCGGCGGCGGTGCTGACAGCGGAGCCCGGACGCCGCGCGGAGCAGCAGCACTCGCGCCGCCATCTTCACCCTCTGCGCCTGCGCACTCTCTCTCTCTCTTGCGCGCGCGGGGGGCGGGGTCTCCCGGCAGGCCTCGCGGCGGGGCGGGCCCTCCCCCTCCCTCTGCGGGCAGCCTCGTCACGTGTGAATCCGCTCCCGGCTGCGACTCGCGCGGAGCCTCTGCGGAGGAAAGCCGGGCGGGCGCAACGGTTGCAAGCCCAGCTACGATGTGGCCGTTCGGGCGGCCTGCGAGGGAGACGCGCCCCGGCCTGGTCCGGAGCCCACAGCCGGGGGCCTTTCGCGGCGGCGGCAGCGGCGTTTGCTCCCTAGCGCCCCGCTTTGGATGCCGATGCAGCCTTTGCGTGGCAGTTGCAGAACCCAATGTGTTTGTTGCGTCTTTGTGCCCCCACCGCCCTCCAGCCTCGAAGACCACACTGGGCTGCACTGCAGGGATGTTGTGCACGCTGCATACATCATTCCCAGCCATTTCCTTGATTTTATCTACATTCCGTTCTTGCGCTTATAAATAACTCAAGGTGGCAAAGTTAATACTCCTCCCTGCTTGTTTTCCTACAACAGCCCTGTGAGGTGGGTTAGGCTGAGTGACTGGCCTGAAGTCCCACTGCTTCATCCCTGTGCAGAGGAGAGGCAGCCAGCAGAGACTGAGCAACGGCAAGCGGTTCAAATGTCACCGGCTCAAGGTTGACTCAGCCTTCCATCCTTCCAGGGTAGGTCAAATGAGGACCCAGATTGTTGGGGGCAATGTAAATATATATATATACATTGCTTACTGGTGTATACCGCTTAGAGAGTGCTTGCACTTAAAGCGGTATATAAGTCTCATAAACAAACAAACAAACTTAAGGGGAAGTAAAACACTTTGGGGACCCCAGCCACTCACTTGGAATGGGGTTGATCTAGGCCAGGGGTACCAAACTGCGAAATGGCATCCACCCTGTTGCCAGCAATGGAAAAAAGTTGCGATACGTCATGTGACGTTGTGAGTTTGACACCCGTGATCTAGGCCACTTCCAGGCCTCAGTGTGGCCTATTGGAGTCAAGTCGGCTACATGAAAAAGGGAAGGGGACACAGGCGGCCCCTGAGGAGCAGCACTGTGGGACACCTGTCAGCCACTGGATCCACCTGCAGAGCTGATGCAGCCACTGCTGGCTAAAGGGCTAGTTCAGTGGTTCTCAACCTGTGGGTCGGGACCCCATTTGGGGTCGAACGACCATTTCACGGGGGTCGCCAAACAACGCAGTCCGCCATTTTTCCCCCCTTTTCCTTAGCTGTGCTACTCCCTTTTGAAAGCCAATAAAATAGACTCTCTTGAATAGAGTCTAATTCTACTGGCTTTCAAAAGCCAATAGGAATTGTCCAGGCTGTCTCTGCCCTGCTGAGCCCGCCAAAAGTCCCATTCTGCAAACGGTGCTGCAAGTTGTCTGCAGCGAAGGCGAGCTGTCTGGAAGTTTCCACCCCTCCCTGCTGAGCAACTACTAAAAATGTAAGTAAAAGAGGGCCAGGGGTGGGAGGCCGGCGGGTGCAGGGAGGGTTGCTGGCACGCGTGGGGCCCGGCGGGTGCCTTATCTCCCTTGGGCTGGGCCAGCTGGTGGCCCAGCCGATGGTCACCCTGCGCCATCGCTGCCGCTTGCCAGCTATGCCTCAGCCGGCGCAGGGGGCGACACCACGCATGCGCGGAGCTCCTGGGCAGGGAAAGTCCTCGACTTACGACTGGTTGGGTAGTCCTTGACTTACAACCGGTTGGGGTCGCAGCATTAAAAAGGTTGAGAACCACTGGGCTAGTTGGTCAAGAGGACTCAATGGCGGTAGACAGGCTAGCCAGCAAGAAGCGGAACCCAGAAATTCTCATCCGCAGAAGCTTTGCCAGAAAAATAATATTCTACTGTCATGTTATCCTGTGTCGCTTCTAGCCTTTTACAAAAAGTTATCACGTATTCAAGAACAGTCAAGGAAACGTGTCACTTGCTTTATCAGTTTCATTTAACAGGTACAGGACAATTACTTCAAAAAGAGGCGAAACATTAGCCAACCAGCAGCTCCTATTCTGGCGAGCTTGCAGAAGAAGTATTCCAAGTGGATTGTGATAATGGATATTTCTGAGTTCCCTTGACAAAACTGGACCTCCTTGGTGGCCCTTCACAAAGCCGTCTCTGAGCTGCCCCCCGAGGGATTCGGCTCCAGAGTTCTTGGAAGGCAGGAAGCCGGTCTGCAGGCCCCTGTGTACTCGTAGAGGTAAACCGAGCCATCTTCTTGCCCGGCCAGCAGGCAAGTGTCCGTAACTGACCACCTGGCCAGGGACCAGCTGCCTCCAGAGTTGGGGGGCAGCAACGCAGTGCACTGCCCCAGAAACAAATCCCACACCGCAATGGTTCCAGAAGCCAGGACAGCTGCTGCCGAAGCGCCCCTCACATCGCGCTCCAAGTACCTGGAGGACCAGAAAGAGTCACTGGGAGGCTGCAGCCTCTGCAGCCCTGTCCCTTGCCTGCTTGGGGCACTCCGATTTACCGTGTTTCCCCGAAAATAAGCCCCTCCCCTAAAATAAGACTTACCCTGATTGGGGAGGGGGTCTAATATAAGCCCTTCCCCCAAAATAAGCCCTAGTTAGGACCCTGCTCACTCCGTCCCACCTCACTGCTGCAATGGGGCAGGAGGCCGCACGGCACAAGGCGAAGCAGGTGGGGGAGGGAGTGGAGTTGCCCCACACCCGCTTACTGGTACTTCAGCCCCCCCCGGGCCAGGCCATTCCTTGATCGGCGACTGCCATTCTACGGGGATGGGATGGGTGGATAGGCCCGGTCCCCCTCCGCCCTTTTGGAGCCAGGGGGGAGTGACGTGAACAGCTCCGCCTCCGCTGTGTGCCGCTGGAGGGGCTTTCTTTAAGCTTCATCCCACAGATCACCTGCCTGGGTGCAACAGCAGCCGCCGCCTTTTGTCCTCTGCCAACTCTCCGGGCTGCCTGCCTCCGCCAACCCTTGGTCGCCTGTCTCACTTTCAAATTAACTTGGCTACAAACTGCTGGTTTTTGAAGAGCCCCCCCCCCAGCCCCCTGATGCCACAACTTGCCTTCCTTGGATGCTGGGGGGCAGGGCCAAGAGCATCACTCCAGAGCTTCTGGCGGTCTTGGGATTGAGCGCCACGATCTGGAAAGCGGGGTTCCCGGGCAGCTGGCTGTCTTCGGCATGGGGATGGCTGAAGACCAGGAAGAGCAGGCCCTGATCCGCAAGACAGAAAACACCCAGGGAGACATCAGCTCCGCCACCAGTCAGAGAAGCACCGGATGCTTCGGACAAACGTTCACCGGGTGGCTCTTAACCACCCTGAAGTCGGGGCTGGGCAGCTGAGGGGAGGCCAATTATCGTCCCAGGATACTGTCTGAACATCCTCCTTTCCCCATCCCCTTTTCGTGTGCCTTCAGATGAGGCTACCCAGAGGGTCCCTGCAGAACCTTTTGCCAACTTTTTCAGAAATGGTCGTCATTGCCTTTTCCTTCCTGGGGCTGAGAAGGGCGAATTGGGACAAAGTCCTCTTCATCTATCAGGCAGGATTAGAATTCAGAACTCCCATCTCTAGCCCAGTGCCTACACCAAACTGCCTCTCTATCTTGGCCAATAGATTTCAATAGATTGAGTCATAAGATGATGATTTACTGGTTCAGACACTGCATGCATCAGTTACACGAAACCAACCTTCTCTGCTTCTGGCCTCTGAATTCTGAGATTTGAAGCACATCAACAGCATTAGGCATTGTGCTTTATGGCTCTCTCTGGGCAGTTTACAGTGTCAGCATTGTTCGCATATTGTCTCCCACAATCTGGGTCCTCATTTTACTAATCTCGAAAGGATGGAAGGCTGAGTCAATCTTGAGCCCCATCCGGGTCGAACTCCTGGCTGGGGCCTGCAATACTGCATTCTAACTACTGCCCGGGCTCCGCTGCACATACCAGAATGTAAAAGCAATCTCTCCAAATACATAATTAATCTTAAAACCCTGGACTTCCAAACACTTCCCTTCCTCTAGTGGTTCTCAACCTGTGGTTCTCAACCTGTGGGTCGGGACCCCATTTGGGGTCGAACGACCATTTCACGGGGGTCGCCAAACAACGCAGTCCGCCATTTTTCCCCCCCTTTTCCTTAGCTGTGCTACTCCCTTCTATTCTATTGGCTTTTGAAAGCCAGTAGAATAGACTGTCTTGAATAGAGTCTCATTCTATTGGCTTTCAAAAGCCAATAGGAATTGTCCAGGCTGTCTCTGCCCTGCTGAGCCCGTTGAAAGTCCCATTCTGCAAATGGTGCTGCACCAGTTGAGTAGTCCTCGACTTACGACTGGTTGAGTAGTCCTCGACTTAACGACCGGTTGGGGCTCGCGGCATTAAAAAGGTTGAGAACCACTGCTCTAGAAAATCAACTCAAAACATTTACGACATCCAAATATCTTCAGTCAGGCAGGCCTCAGGAGAAAATGTGACAAATGGCAAAAGCCCCCCAACGCAGCCCCCCAAATCCTTCCCGCCTGGCACTGCCCCACATCCCTGACGTGACTCCCACCAACAACTGAATAGCGATCAATGAATTTTCAGTCCCATTCCAGAATTCAGACCCTCCTCTCTCTTTGGTTTCAATTTATTTAAAAATATAATCAGTAGGAAAGTCGATATGCAATTTAATGGTTTTGCCTCAGTTGTTGCTTATGAACGTGATTCTCAGATCAAAAGGGATTTCTCATCTCCCTGGAGAGATGCCAGACACCGAGCACGATGCTTCCCAAAGGAGTCGCACCTGCTTCTCATCCAAATATCCCAAATGCAGATCCCACATTCTCGTTCCTGTCCTGTGGTGGGATCGGCCTCAACGGTGCTCTCAGCGGAAACCGAAGCAAAGGCTACAACGCTCAGCCACGGGAAGGCCGAAAGCCAACAGGGGCCTTTCTGCCTTTCCCAGCGTGCACCTGAAGGCACCTACCGCATCGGAGTAGGCCTTGTGGCAGACGGATGCGGGGAAGGACCACCCCACCGGGATCTTCTTCAGCAACTGCCCCGTTCCCAGATTCCTGTGCAGGGCAAAAAGGCCATCAGTTCAGCTCTTTCAGGTCCCTTCGGCTGCCTGGCTGGGACGAGCCCGGCAGAGACCAGGGAAGAGACCCTGCTCGCCCTCCCGTCCAGAGTGCTTGCAAGAACAGAAGCAGCAACACCCACTGTGCGAAATAATGTTTTTTTTTTCCTCTTTCTAAAATGCACTGCTTGACGCATTGAATAGCTGCATAAGAAGAGCATAATATCGATCAAATCAGCAATCCCAGTATAATCAGTGTGTCTCAACCTCGGCTGGGGAATTCTGGGAGTTGCAGTCCACCCATCTTCAATTGGCCAAGGTCGGGAGACCCCCAACCTTCCTCCACGCCAATTAATGCTACCTCTCCGAATGCAGCTCTCCCTGCAGACAGATGCACAGGTTGCAGACCTCAGCTAAGCAGCCCATCAGGCTGTCCCACTTTCACAAGCAGAACAGGGTCGAAGAGAAGCCACCGCCGGCTCTCCAGAAGTCCCTCCACTTGGGGACCAAAACCATCGGGGAGGGCAAGGGGGTAATTTCCTGACCCCTCCTCCAAAAAGTCTCTTTTCCAGGTAAAAGCAGACAGAGGGCCTTAGCTGAGCGCAAAATCATGTATGGCATCAACTAGTAGCTGCTATGGATCTCCATTTGTCAACACAAAAAACAGGTGTCGGGTCTGCCATCCTCAGCTTCTTCACTTGCTGCCATCCTGCCATAAAGCGCAGGGGGGTGGGGAGGGAATTTGGGGAAGTAAAGTCAGAGCAAGCGAAAGGGAAGGCAAATGGAGGGGTGGAGGGGTGGGGAGATAGGCTGACAAGAACCAGAGGTGCCAAACTGGAATAAACCGGCGGGCAAGGACACCTGGCCTGAGAACAGAAGCCCGAAACCACACAGGGAAATAGATGCCAAGCTTCAAAGCGCTTCCCAAAACATCAAAACGGCATAATACTGGACACTGATGGATTGGTCATGGGGAGGGCCAGAAAAGGGGAGAAAGTATAAGGAATACTCAGATCTAGCTTCATTTTCGCTGCAACCACTTAACTTTAGTTAAAAAAAACAATAACCCATCACTTCAACTAAATGGAGTCGAGGGTCTTTCTTTCCCAAATGTCTAAACTGGGGCAGGAAATTGACACCAGGAACGAAGGTCCAGACTCTCGGATCCAATTCTGAGTATTTTGAGGCATCGCAAACAAGTCTGCTGGCGATACAGAATGTCAGATGGACACTCTCAAGATATTCCGTATACTGAGGCAGTTGCAGGGATTCCAGTAAAAATATTCCAGTTACCTTTGCTTTTAATATGCATGAATCACATTGGACCAGGGGTGTCAAACTGCCGGCCCGCCGGCCGGATGCATCATAGCAAAACTGCTCCCACTCATTGCCGGGAATGGCAAAAAAGTCACGGTACGTTGCATCACATGACATTGTGAGTTTGACACCCCTGCATTAGACATCCTTAATTCATTTCTCCCTCTATAATCAAGTGGGATTTACAAACTCATTTGATACAGCAAAAATATTTTTTCAGATCTGTTGAACTCTTCAAAGCATGTTCAAAAAAGGTGAGCTTTCATCCTTTCTATGCTCACTTCTGATGGAAGTTCCTTGTTAGTCAGAACACAGAATCCTAGGGCTGGAAGAGGCCTTGGAGGTCATCTAGTCCAACTCCCTGCCCAAGGTAGGAGCCTTATAGCATCCTGGTTAAAAGGCTGTCCAATCTCTTTTCGAAAACCTCCAGTGATGGAGCATTCACAATTCTGGGAGGCAAGTTAGATATTATTGCTGTTATAAACTAGGTTCTGGGAAGGAAGTTAAGGTTCTCACACACCTCTGTGTGTGGTTAAACTATCATCTAAAAATGGAATTTCAATTTTTGAAGAGCTTTGATAAATATGAGTGACAGTATACTTCTGGAAATATGTATGAATCAGATGGGTTTTTTTGGTTCAATGGAGCATGTCAACTCTCAATATTCAAATACTAAGTTTTGACTGAGAGACAAGGCTGGACAGTATTTAGTTCTGCATAGTCTCAGCTTAAGGCAATTTTTGAAATCTGAATTGCAAAAATCTGCACGTATACATAATTAAAACTTTTGTATTGAAGAGATTAGAATTCTTGTTGTGTTCCTAGTTTTCTGAATTTCTTTTCCCCCCCAGTTACTCCACTTCTCCCAACTTTCAGTTAGTTTTACATTTTTCCTTTTTATGCACTGAGCATTTTTTGCAATCGCAATATAGTTTATACATACGTTTTTGTCTGTTATCTACTGTAATATCTTTGTGGGACTGAGTCAGAATTTTACTGAGGAAAAATAGCTGGGCCAGAGGAAAATCCCGCGGAGCAGCCTGCGGGCTCACCAGAGGACGATGCAGTTCATGGCTGTCATTCCAAGGAGAGCCTCCTGCAGCCCAGCCACGTCAGCAAAAGCCAAGACCGTCTCTTCGGGGGGCATCAAAGCCCACCTCTTGTGGCTCCTGCAAAACATACACCTTCTCCTGATGTTCAGCCCTCTTGTTTATAGGATGGGAAATTAATAGAGTGTAAAGTAGAATACAGGATAGGACAGAACAGGACAGGATAGGATAATACAGTAGGATAGGATAGGATAGGATAGGATAGGATACAGAATAGAATATAGAACAGAACAGGACAGAACACTCTTTATTGGTGAAATGTGATTGGACAAACAAGAAATTTGTCTCCAGTGCAGAAGGTCTCAGTGTACATACAAACAACGTGATAAGTCATAGATCATAAATCGTAAAATACAATCATAATTCCTAAGATACAAACAAGTGATAAATCATAAGATACCAATAGGACAGTAGTTCTCAACCTTTTTAAAGCCGCGACCCCCAACCGGTCGTAAGTCGAGGGCTACTCAACTGGTGCAGCACCGTTTGCAGAATTGGACTTTTGGCGGGATCAGCAGGGCAGAGACAGCCTGGACAATTCCTATTGGCTTTTGAAAGTTAATAGAATTAGACTCTATTCAAGAGAGTCTATTCTATTGGCTTTCAAAAGCCAATAGAATAAAAGGGAGTAGCACAGCTAAGGAAAAGGGGGGGAAAAATGGCGGCCTGCGTTGTTTGGTGACCCCCGTGAAATGGTCGTTCGACCCCAAATGGGGTCCTGACCCACAGGTTGAGAACCACTGGTGTAGAGTAAAGTAGAATACAGGACAGGACAGGATAATACAATAGGATAGGATAGGATACAGAATAGAATATAGAACAGGACAGAACACTCTTTATTGGTGAAATGTGATTGGACAAACAAGAAATTTGTCTCCAGTGCAGAAGGTCTCAGTGTACATACAAACGTGATAAGTCATAGATCAAAAATCGTAAAATACAATCATAACTCCTAAGATACAAACAAGTGATAAATCATAAGATACCAATAGGAGAAAGTAGTGGGAAAGATGAGAAGAAGAATAGCAATACAGCCCTAGTACCTGGGTAAATATTTTTAGGCATAAGACAGTGCTGTGGGTGTTAGGTGTTTAGCAGAGTGATGGCATGGGGGAATAGATTATCAATGTCCACCTCTTGTGGCTTCTGCAAAACCAACAGGTTCTCCTGATTTTCAGCACCCAGTTTATAGGATGGAAAACGAACTCACTGCCAACATGCTCAGCACGTATTGCCTCTCTGCACCCTTGTCTAGCCTGAATCCTGAGTTCAATTTCCTTCCCTGCTGTAGCAATTTGATCTATTTCTTAGAGATCTTCTGGAATGGTGGTCTTCCCAAAGAGGCCTACCATGCAAAACCAATTAGTCCTCACCTTCCCACCTCAGAGAAAGAAAAGACTTCCACTTCTTGGCCTCGCAGTGACCAGCAGCTGCTGACCAGCTTCCTATCGGTCAGACCAAGGACGGCGTTTATGTTTCCAGCTTTGAGCAGCTCTTCTTTAGCACAGCTACCTTCAGAAGAATGGAACAAAAGCCTAGAAGAACAGAAGTCTGCTATGATCCTGGGTCTACTTAACATGCAACAACAAAACCAATTAACGTGTGGCCATCAATTACAGCAACGTAGGAAAGCTCTATGATGGGAGTAACGCACTGATAAAAATACCAACATGCTATTGTGAAATCAAAACAGGCTATGGAATTTGCCCATCAAAGGCTTCCTATCTGCAACGCTGGATCTATAAACGGCAAATTTGGACCCTGGTTTTTTAGTATGATTACAAGGAGTCTTTCACAGAAATAATGAAATGCTGAATGTCTTCTTCTGCCCCCAAGGGCACCCACCAGCTCGAGGTGAGGTAGCATCCACATGCTGACCATGTCTGACTGTTCCTCTCCCCCCCCCAGCTCAAGTGGGGACAATGCCTGGAGGCTGTTGGGTTCTGATTGGGGAGAGACAGGCTCAGACCCAACCCCAGCAAGAGGCCAGAAGCCCCCTGATTATTCCGGGATTGAGTCCTCTTTGATTCCCGAAAGGGTCGTGATCGGAGGGTCTTCTGAGACCCCTTTTCTCAAGGAGGGGGTGGAGGCTGTGGCCAGGAGCCTTTGCTGCACTTTGAGGCTGAAATGGAATAGGATGTTCCAAGGACATGTCCTTCTGATCTCGCCATGCTCACACACACACACACACACACACACACACACCCCAGATGGTCAGCAAGAACCTGCTTAGTAGCAGATGCAACAGAAAGATTACAAGGTTAGAAAAAAAAATGTAACATCATTATTGTCATTTAAATATTTGTGGTATGAATGAGATGGAGGGAAATTTATTTATTTATTTATTTATTTATTTTATTTATGAGACTTATATACCGCTTTAAGTGCAAGCACTCTCTAAGCGGTGTACACCAGTAAGCAATGTATATATATATTTACATTGCCCCCAACAATCTGGGTCCTCATTTTACCTACCCCGGAAGGATGGAAGGCTGAGTCAACCTTGAGCCGGTGAGATTTGAACCGCTGACCTGCTGAACACCGTCAGCTAAAGTGGCCTGCAGTCCTGCACTCGAACTGCTGTGCCACCTCGGCTCTATGCGCAGAATTTGCAGAAATAAAATGATGGAAACTTCAGGTGCTTCCTCTTGTGCAAAGGTTCACATCTGTTAACTGCAACGTTGCTTACAATTGCTTGAATTACACAAAAGCAGCAAACTGCTCCTCTCGGGCACTAAAGCTAATGACCTGATTTGGTTCATGGGAAAAAAACTCTCACTAAACCAAATTTGGATGTTATTCTGAGAACGAAAGCATGCAGCATTATAAACGCCTCAGCATCCATTAGACTCCGTTGCTGAAATGCATAATCCATCCCAAAAGTTTTATTAGTTTATATAAAAAAAAACCAAAAGAAAATAATGGGAGAATATGGGTGTAAAACGGGAAAAGTGTAGGACAAAGGGAAAGAAAGAAAGAAAAAGCGTTGACTTCCAACTCCTTTTAGTGCAGTATAATAAAATAATAGCATCAAACCTCAACCTTTTGCTTTTCTATAATACCGTATATGCCGGCGTACAAGGTGACCCGGCGTATAAGATGACCCCCGTCTTTATCGCCGAGCCGCTTTCCTAAAATGTCGTCTTATACGCCGGAAACTACCAGTATTTCCTGCGTATAAGACAACTCGGCGTATAAGACGACCCCCGTCTTTGGCGCCGATTTCAGCGCTCGCGGAAGTCGCCTTATACGCCGGCATTTACGGTAATACTGGTATAAAGTAGCCATCTCTATAACAACAGACCCATCCAATCAGCAAAACCCAAAATCAAAGTTGCATTTTTTCCACCTCAAGCACAAAGTTCAGCAGTGGTTTCCAAGTAGAATTGCAAACAAATTGGGTTCTTTCACCAGAGCAGCCCACTTGCCCACCTCTGCTGGCTCCATCAATGCATAAAATGCACAATCCACTTGCCGTATCTCTGCTGTCTCCAGACGTCCCAGCACTGCACCCACCACGCTGTGAGCCCCGGACAGGGCGACGATTTGGATCACTGGAAACTGAAAAAGAGAGCCACAGGATGGGCGGCCCTTCCCTTCCAAGCCAGACCTGCCCCTCCTCCCCGGACACGGCCTGAATAAAGCCGGCAGCGGGACCCTCGGCCCGCCAGACTGCTCAGCCGCCATTCCCAGCCCTGACTGTCCTGCTTAGGGCCATAACTAGGCAGTCCTCAACTTACACCCACAACTGAGCCCAAAATTTACGTTGCTAAGTGAAACATTTGTTAAGCGAGATTTGCTCCATTTTACGACCTTTCTTGCCACAGTTATTAAGTGAATCACTGCAGTCGTTAACTTAGTAACCCGGTTGTTAAGTGAACCCGGCTTCCCCGTTAACTTTGCTTGTCAGAAGGTTGCAAAAGGGGATCACGTGACCCCCCCCGGGACACCATGCAACCGTCATAACTATGAGTCGGTTGCCAAGCGTCTGAATTCTGATCGTGTGACCAAGGGAACGCTGCAAATGTCGTAAGTGTGAAAAACGGTCTTAAGTCACTTTTTTTTGCAACTTGGAATGGTCACTAAATGAACTGTCGTAAGTCAAGAACCAAGGCTTGTCTGTAAACCGGAGAACGGTTTGTCCGTCACACGTCACCCAGGGCGACTTCTGGCTCGCCTGCTCTCTCGCAAAGCGGCCCTCGGAGCAGCACAATTTGCAATAGCCCCCTGCAGAGTCTGCAGCAAGTGGCCGGGGCCCAGCTCTCCGCAGCTGCAGCAAAGAACTGCACGATGGGTTTAGGGTCACTTTTTCTCATTCATTGGAATAAAACAACGTAATTGTTTTAGTATACAATAACACAAAATTAGCTCATACTTTTATAGCCTAAGACACGTTACAAAAACACAAAATAATACAGCACTATCGCATATGATATTTTATACTGTATATATTATATTGTCAGGACATCTATTTTAAGCTTATGGCTTTTAGACATAATTTTAAAAAAATACCCCATGCCCCGAGCTAAGCCCTGGAGACATGAAACGCACACGTATGCAAGCAACACCCACAATTGTGCTAATAGGGAGACAGGCAAACCCTTCACCGGTCTTCAGGTCGAAAAGACTGCAGCTGGGGGGCATGGGGGGGCGGAAGGGACACCCTCCAGCAGCAGACCCAGAGTGGCACCACCCAGGCAGCCAAAGCAGCAGCGGCCTCGCCTACCTTTGTAAAGTGCCAGGTGTGCACCGTCCCCCACTGGCCAAGATCGAGAGGCCTCCAGAGAGAGATGGACGTTTCCTCGGCTGTCACAACACACAATTCTGCGCGGTCAGCAGCTTCCCACCACACAGCGCTCATGTCCACCAAGCAGGAGCCGGAGGCATTCTGAGGGAGAGCAGGAGGAGACGGGATCATTCGGAGGAGCTGGGGCCGGCAAGGGCCAACCGGATGGACAGGGCCAGAGCGTCCAGCGGGGGTCTCCTCCAAGCAGATCTGGCCCCTCCTGCGCACTCACAAAGGTCCTGCCTCACCAGAGGGACCCAACCCGCTTGGACCTCTCGCCCTGCCCTCCGGCTGCTGGCTTCCTCGGCTTTGTGCAGGCGAGCCTTCAGTGCTGCCTGCTCTGAGCAGGCTGTTGTGGCTGTGTTTCACAAGACATTACAGGGAGTCCTCACCTTACGACCAGTCATTCAGAGACTGACTAAAGTTACAGCGGACTCCACAAAAGGCGCTTGGGTCCCATTTTCTATGTTCCAAAAGCACCGCCCCCCCCAAAGGTCATGTGATCACGTTGGGCACTTGGCTACTGGCCTGCATTTACGTCCATCTGCAGCATCCCGTAGTCACACAACCACAACTTGACTTTTTTGGGGGGGGGGCTGGGAACTGGTGTTTACTTCTGGTTTCTGGCAAAACACACCTATTGCAGACAATGGACTCACTTAACGATCGCAGCATTGGCTTAACAACTGCTGTGTTCGTTGTACTTAACGACCATTGCAAAAAAAAAAGTCATAAAATCGGGTTGGCCACATAGGTGCTTCTGATCATGATGACATCTGACCAAAATTCCTGGCTCCATTTTGGCCAGAAGTCAAGGACCATCTGTGTTGTATTTTGCTTGTAACCCTCCCAGGATCTCCTGAGGGGAGCAGTATGTAAATGAACGAAAGAAATAAGTTGATAGATGACTACAAGTTGACAGGCCTGCTTCCTTTGTAGCAGGAAAGGTCTCTGCGCCCAGAAGTCACAGCAGAGCCTGTGGCGGTTCCAGGCTCGCCTGCAGCCAAACCGTCTTCTGCCTCCCTCCAGGAGAGAACCTGGCCAGCAAAAGCCACAAGAACTGCAGACTCCGCTCTGCATTTCGGTCCACGCAGCCCCAGTTTCCCTCCTGGGCCTGCAACAGGGAGATCCCGTCACAGGACCGAGGGAGGGCAGAGTGGCTGCTGGAATGGGCCCCAACTGGCCAAACGCCCGCTCAGCTGCAGGGCCAGCCCAGACAAAGCCACAGCAAGCCAGGTCTGGGGCTCTCCCTCAGGCAGAGCCCAGCACCACCCCGGAGGCTCTGCCCCCTCCAAGAGGAAACGCCTTCCCCCAGGGCAGGATGGGGGTGACAAACAGTCCATTATCAGGGCAACCCTGGGTCTCTCGTGGCACAAAAAAGCTGGACTATTTTAACCATCTTTCTCCTTTAACCTTCAGTTTTGAAGTCATTTTCAAGTTGCCTTCCCTCGGCGTGCCTGCTGGTGCTTCCCCCTGGAGCTCCTCTGCTGGGCAGCTCTGTGGAGACAAACGCAAGAGATGCCCCAGCCAGGTCAGACTCCCGCAGTGCCCTTTGGGACGAGGCCTTCCTCCCGCAGCCCCGGAAGGCGGCTCCCTCTGTCCTCGCCCCCACCGCAAAAGCAGGGGAGGCCCCGTAGGGGAGACCAGGCTCCGTCGCTGGAGGGTCGGTTCTTCATTTGGGCAGAGGGAACAAAGGGCGGCAGGCAGGCAAGTAAGCACAACATTCACCAGCTGAACTCAATTCCTCGGAAAAGTAAGACAGCGGTCCACAATATGTATGAGCCAAGGTGGCGTAGCAGTTAGAGTGCAGTACTGCAGGCCACTTTAGCTGACTGCGTTCAGCAGGTCAGCGGTTCAAATCTCACCGGCTCAAGGTTGACTCAGCCTTCCATCCTTCCGGGTAGGTAAAATGAGGACCCAGATTGTTGGGGGCAATGGAAATATGTATATATATATTTATATATACACACACACACACACACACACACACACACACACATACACATACATTGCTTACTGGTGTACATTGCTTACTGGTGTATATATATATATATATACACACACACACACACACACACACACACACACATTGCTTACTGGTGTACACCGCTTAGAGAGTGCTTGCACTTAAAGCGGTATATAAGTCTCATAAATAAATAAATAAATAGGTGATATTTTGAGCTGCGGCTGCCTGCCCCCATAACACACGGTTTGTGCAGAAAAGCCAGGCCGTTTCCCAAATTAAACTCTTCAGGATGGGTCAATAAGGCGGTCTAAAATACCAGCCGGTGATGCAGCTGCTGCAAGAGGCCAGTCTGTTGGACAAAAGGGCAGCTGACCAAGTCAGGGCGGTGGCCACTGACCGTCACAAGCGGGGAGTCCCAGGCCCAGAAGGAGAGTAAAATCTACAGACCGAGGAATAAACCAGAGCAGAATGACCGGCCAAGTGGCCGTTGGGACAAAAGAACAGGGAAACTGAGTCCAGAAGGGAAAGAAATAGAGCACAGGATTGACCTCCTTTGGGGAACTAAGCTGGGCCAAACCCAGAGGTGCCACGTTTGGGGCGGGGCAGCCAAGGAGGAGGGTGCCAAGGGAGACTCAGACACGGCTCCCAGTGTACAAAGATTTTCTGCCAAGATTTTAATTGCGGCTCTCCTTGCATTCCCCAAGGTGGATGTCTCACCTCAGCAACCTGGGCGCCCCAGATGCATCCCCTTTACCTGCCTGGGGGGCTCCTGGTCATGCTCAAGCAGCTTCTCAGGGGGGCTGGCAGCTTCTTCCCCAGCTCTCCTGCTGATTCCAGCTGGGCCCGGCGAGCGAGGCTGCCCCCTGCCCCTCTCCGGGTTAGCAGACCGTGCCGCAGCTGCTTGCGAAGGAGAGGCCCCCGGGGGATGTGGGGAGACCAGGGGAGCCGGGGTGGCCCCCACCAGGGGAAAATTGGGGGTTTGCAAAAGGCTCTGTCCGCCGTCCAAGGCCGGGGAGAGGAGCAGCGCACGGGAAGAAGGAGTCGGGGGGGTCCTCCTCGTTCCGGACAGGAGGATTTGTCCCGATGCTGCTCCTTCCTCCAGAGGAGCCTCCCCAGAGAGGCTCGGGGGACCCTCGCTGGATCCGCCAGCATCCCAGACCCCCAACAGCTTCTCGGGACGGACGTTGAGCTTCTTGGACTTCAGGTGGCCAAAATCCTCATCAGGCAGGTGGAAGTCTTGGTGCGACAGCCCGGGAGGCAGCCAGCCGAGGCGGGACCCCTCCCCACCCAGGGGGGCGAGAGGCAAAGCTGCAGCGGCAGAATTCAGCCCCCTCCAGAGGCCAGGAGCAGCCGGACCCGGGGAGCCCACTGGCGGGCTGAGTCCTCCATCTGCAAATGTGAAACAAACAAAAGAACCTTCCAAGAGCCAAACCTTAATTTCTGAACCCCCCCCCCCGTCCCTCTCTGCAACTCATACGGAGACAGGAGGGTGCCCTGTCCCCCAGGCCTCCTGCAGCCCCCAGCCTTACACCCCACTCAGAGGCACCCTCGGCCTTTGAAGACGCACAAGGCTGGTGTGCTGCATGTGTTCTGTTCCAGCCTATTGTCGTCCTTGTTAACTTCACAAGAACAAAACCCCTGCTACTACAATAGGCTGGAGACTTGCAAACAAAAACAAAAACCCCTTTTAATTCGGTTGACAAACCTGTCAAATACAGCAAACTCCAGTCCAAAAGAACACGATGAAAAGCAGACCCAAAGTTACAAGAGAAGTCACAAACCAAGATTCCAAGACGCGGTTTTCAAACATTCAGCAACCAGCACCACCCACACCTCCTCCCTTTATTTAGCAGTCCTGAGGCGGTGCCTCTCCGTGCCGTTTCTTCTTACTTTGGAGGTGTCTCATTGCACCTCTGTTGCCTTACTCTGGCTAATTGACGCCGTCTGCGTGCGTCAATTAGCAAGTCCATCTGTTGTGATTCCTCCAAGTCTGACTCCTGCTCCTCACATAGCTGAGCTTCATCAGAAACACAACTGGAGGGCCCAGGCTCTGCACCCAACTGTGAGTCCTGTACGTCAAAGCCTGGCTCTGATGGCCCTTCAAATGCCTCCTCCACCTCCTCCTCAGATTCCTCCAACTCAGCTGTGGGGAGCATAGACTGGCACGGAACCACAACAGCATGGGCCTTTATTTTCCACTATAAGCTGACTACTTTTCATGCCACCTCCCAATATCCCCCCCCCCGAGGGAGGATCCACTTGGTCTGCCTGGAAGGCTCCACCCTCGGCACAAGGGGGCTTCTGCTCTCCACCCGACCCAGAGTGAGCCCTGCAGGAAGGAGGATCCCCTTGCCTTGCATCTCAGGGAGACCACCAGGGTCTCCAAGGGGAAAGGGGCCCTGCAGGACCAGCTTGGGATCGGTGCCAGGGGGGTCCCCAGCCTGCTCAGGAGGCTCCCTTGCCGAGAGACGCCGTTCCCCATCAACCCCCTGGTTTTCTCCCACTGCTGGGTAAAGAGCACTGGGCCACCTGACCCTCAGGCCCCTCCCGGACTCACACTGGCCCCTCCAGCCCCTCCCGGCCCGTGCTTGCTGCCCACGTGGCCACCAGCTGCCCACAGGGCGAGCGCTGCTGCCTGGCTTCCACATGAGCCCTTTTCTCCCCCCCCCCCTCTGAAATTCTTCTGCAGGATCAGCAAATGCTCTGGGGACCGACCTTTCCGAGCTCTCCGACTGACCTGTGCTGGAGGAAGTCCTCTGCTGGGTCCTCCTTCTCAGCCTCAGGCTTCTCCTGCCCTGGCTGCAGCCTCGGCTGGACCCGGCACTCTTTGCAGAGAGGGGTGGGGATCCAGAAGCCTCCCCGGGCAGCCTGGGAGTTGAGCTCAGTCGACTGTCACTTTCGAGGAGCTCCTGGGAGGGCTGGGCCCAATTCGCCGCCCGCTCTTTGGGGGCCACCCTCCGGCCCTTCCTGCCCTTGCCCAGCTGGCTCTGCATGACCACCTCCAGGTTCACCTCCCCCTGATGCCTGGAGAGTCGGCGGGTCATCCGCACGTAATACTCAAGGGGAAACATGAGTCCCTCAACCATCGTGCAAGAGCTCAGCACCTCCTTACTGGGGCTGAGCTCTCCCAGGGAGGGTGGCCCCACTTCAAGGCTGTGCCCTTCGTCCTCTCCACTTGTCTTCTTGCTGGGGGGGTCTCCATTGTCCACGTCCTCTCTATGCTGGTCAGGAACAGTCCTGTCCCCTTGAGCAGCGTCAGGGGTCATCGCTGGGTCTGCCAATCTTTCTGGATCTTCCTTGTCCCCCCATCCCGGCTGCTCCTCTTCTTTCTCCCCGTTCCGCACACTGGCACATAATGACACGCTCACGGCAGCCGAGTCCTCCAGACCAGAAACTCTCTCTTCACTCAGCGGGTCAAGTAAAGACCCTGGACTCAGGTGCGGCAGGAAACAAGGAAGTGCTTGCGTTACCCCAGGAACATCAGTTTGCATCCATTCTTCATTGTCTGGATCCGACATTTTAGGAGAAACATTGCCACTTCCTCCTTGGCTAGCCTGCAGGGAGGACTGGCCAGCATCCAAGAGGCTGCTGCTTCTCTTAAAGCCGGGGGACTCTGAGCCTTGGTTTGTGGCCCTCTGATGCTCTCCCTCATGCACCTCCCAGGCCATTTCTCCCCTCTTTGCCAAAGAGAGCATCTCTCTCTGCCGTCCGGTGGCTCCACTGGGCGACTGCAGGCTGCAGTTCCTCCCCAAAGGAGGCTCCGTCGGATTAAAGAGCACCCTTCGGCCCAACTGATGGATCCTTCTGGAGCATGATGTTTCTGGCAAGCTGCCTTCAAAAGCCCCGGACTTAAAGAGGACAGGTGTGGTCTCTGTGGTGCTGCCTGGGCAGAAGATTCCCACCTGACCCTCCTCTGGGGGCTCTGGAGATAGTTGACTGAGGCCTCCTGCAAAAGACAAAGCTCTTGGGTAGCTCCTTTCCCCTGGGGAGCACAGAGCTCATTTAGGCAAGAAAAACCAAATGTACAGGTATAGCATAGGGGGTACTTGCTCAATAGTAGTAACTGTGAGAGGGACCTTGGAGTCCTAGTGGACAATCACTTAAATATGAGCCAGCAGTGTGCTGCAGCTGCCAAAAAAGCCAACACAGTGCTGGGCTGAATTAACAGAGGGATAGAATCAAGATCACGTGAAGTATTAATACCACTTTACAATGCCTTGGTAAGGCCACACTTGGAATCCTGCATCCAGTTTTGGTCACCATGGTGCAAAAAAGATCTTGAGACTCTAGAAAGAGTACAGAGAAGAGCAACAAAGATGATTAGGGGACTGGAGGCTAAAACATATGAGGAACGGTTGCTGGAATTGGTTATGTCTAGTTTAATGAAGAGAAGGACGAGGGGGAACATAATAGCAGTATTCCAATATCTCAGGGGCTGCCAGAAAGAAGGAGTCAAGCTATTCTCCAAAGGGCCTGAAGGCAGGACAAGAAGCAACGGATGGAAACTAATCAAGGAGAGAAGCAACCTAGAACTAAGGAGAAACTTCCTGACAGTGAGAACAATTGTCCAGTGGAACAGCCTGCCTCCAGAAGCGGTGAATGCTCCAACACTGGAAGTTTTAGAAGAGACTGGACAGCCAGTTGTCCGAAATGGTGTAGGGTTCCTGCATGAGCAGGGGGTTGGACTTGATGACTTCCAAGGTCCCTTCCAACTTTATTATTATTAAGAATTGAGCATCCGTAACCCAGTGCATAAAAGTGATAGAATGCTATAAAAGGAGTTGTCAGAACCCTACGTTCTGTGTGCCTGGGATTTCTTATTCTTTTCAGGTTCTGCCATTCTCCTGGGGGGGGGGAGGGAAGCTTGAGGTGCCGATGTGTATTTGCTTTGCTCTGCCTCTTGCTCTGTTCTCTTTGATGTGTCTCCAACAAGGTGAGAATGGAATGTACCTCTAGACATCTAACTTATCTCCCAGCACGGAAGAAACAGCACAGACACCTAACAGCCTTGGAAGTGGAGCCTCATCGTCCCGTTCCCACAGCATTTTCACACCTGCGGATTGGCCTGTTTGAACCGTCCGGATGGAGAGTTAGGATGGGATTACTATGGACACTTTTAACTACTTCATTCGCATGGGAAACCCTCAGATCCTGCCTTCTATTCCAGCTGTCAACACCTCCCAATAAAAGTTCCTTTTGAAATGAGGCCATTTCAAGAGTTCTGCTTTCTTGGGAGAACTGAATGAGACGGGTTCTTACAGGAGTATTAGAAAAATCTCTTGTTCAAGAGACATCAGTGTGTGAGGAGCTGAGATGCAACACACAAACAGCATATTGATGCATCAACTCGCTTTGGGTTTTGGAACCAAAAGAACTTTGTAATTACTTGCACTCTGCGTCACCTGCATCTACACCGCCCTCCTCGCTTCCCTTCCTTGCCCCAACTGAAGTCCTGTGCCAGCCCAGCTGCTCTCTGCATCTGATGAAGTGAGCTGCAGCTCTGTCTTTTAATAAATCTGTCAGCTGCTTCTGCTTCTTAAAGAGAGAGAGAGAGAGAGAGAGAGAGAGAGAGAGAGAGAGAGAGAGGGAGGGAGAGAGAGAGAGACCATCAGATGCTGTCTCAGTGTTACCTGCATGGTTCTTCACGGCTTCCTCCTGTCCAAGCAGCAGGTTTTGCTGTGCAATCGTTTTTTTGATGTGATTTTTAACCTTTGCAGCTTTCTCAGCACGCTGTGGAAATGAAGGTTAACGATCACATTGCTTTTCTTACTAGTCAATATGAAATTAGTCAATTTCTGCTGATTTTTGCTCCTCAAGCCTTCCCCAAATGAAGAGATTGTCCTTCAACAGTTCCAGAGAATCCCTTTTATTTACCCACCTGTAACCTGTGGAATGTTTTGTTGTATTCTCTTTTCAATACGGCCAGTTTTTCTTTCAGCTAGAAGACAAAACAATTGTTAAATAATTGGCATATTTAACTTGAAAAGTAATTAAAAGGTTTAGACAGCAACCTTATTACTCCAGTCAGGTTTGAATTGACAATGAAGACCAGCATATGCGCTCCCAGGAATAACAGAGCTGCCCAAGAAAATTCAACATAACCTGAACTTCATAAAGGATCTGGACAGGGAAAGGACTTCCTGGTTTCCATGAGTTTATACCAGATGTTACCTGGCCCACCTGAAAGGAGCCCCATAGGCTGGGCCTGATCTTCAGGACAGACAGCCTGAGATCAGAAGAGGGAGGGCATAGTGGATCACTGCTTTGCTATTCTCAGATCACTTTCTGATCATCATGAAGAACACCCCTAGATCTCTGTAGGGGTAGAGGACCCACAGGATTATGGATCCACTTGATTTTTAAGTGCTTGGGAACGTTCCCAGTTGTGTGTTAGACCAGTGGTTCTTAACCTTTTTGAACGAATCGCCCCCTTGAGCCAATGAGGAAGTTGTCATCGCCCCCTCCCCCAACATAACCTCTCAATCACAACATAGGAAATAATTCTTCAATTTATGCAAACACTTTTTTTGTTTTCTTTAAAATTGTCATCAGGACATATCGATGCAAATAATTTATTTCCAGTCTTTTTCCCATATCTCAACTGTGTGAAAAATGTTTGGTGCCACCCGTCACTTTATTCCCAAACTTCGTGATACATGTATTTCATTATTATCTTATTTATTCAAGACACTTAAATGTAACGACCACTGAAAACAAAATTCAATTGCAAGAAAGTGAAATGCTTGAAAAGAAAACCAGTAACATTTAATGATTGAATTACAAGTGAAATTTAAGACGCAAAAAGAAATATAAAAAGGGCATAAGAACAAACCGCAATGCAGGAACTAAGAATTTCAAGACAAAAACTCTGAAACTAAATTAAGATTTGAGGAAAAGTCACGCACACTGTAAAAAGGATTAAAAAGACACAAAGAAAATATAATATTGAACTGGAGTGCACACTAAAAAAGTACAATACAAAGAGACACACAAAACGTTTTACAGAGCACAATAAAAATTTGAAAACAAAGCCGAAAACTCAAACTGGAACGTGAAATCCAATGCAAGCAAATACAACGATAAAAGCTCAATTATTAACGAAAAAATGTATGTACACAAAAAGCAAAAAAAAAAAAAAACATCAATCGCTGCCCTGTGCTTGGTGAGCTGATGCCAATTTCTTGATGTCTGGAACCATTTTTGCTAATCGCATTCTTAAATCATTGCGCTCAGAGATCTTCAACATGTTCCTTGACTTAGAAAGGATCTGTTGGACAGCGCTGAAGCCCCTCTCCACTAAGTAAGTAGAAGGAAAGGCTAGAAGAAGCAACTTAACTTCCTTCCACAATATTGGGTAAGTGTTTCTCATTTTCACCCAAAAAGCTTCGTAGCCGTAACTCTGAAAATGTGACTGGGCTTCATAGTCGTATTTCAGATCTGTCAGTGGCTCTTGCAGTTGGGGATGAAGTTGTGCAAAGTCTGCTGTGAAAGGATTTAGCACCCAAGTGGGCACTTCCAGATTTATCAGATCATAGAATCTGATTTCCATATCTTCTTTTAGTTGCTTCAAGTGGCAGCAAAAAACGTCGAAATCTTCTCCTTGAAGTTCACGTTCATTACCAAGGCTTGGGAACTGATACAGCTCCTGGCGACTCATATTGCTTGCAAGGAGGTCCAATTTGGAAATAAATGAGCAGATTACTCCCTTGGCCTTAAGAAAATTGATTTTATCTCCTTGCAGCTTTACGTTCACTTCATTCAGCTTGTCAAAAACATCAGCGAGATACGCTACATCCAGACGTCGAAGTTTAAGAAAACTGCTTAGACTTGGGTCAATGGATTCAAGAAATTCGACAACTGTGTCAAAAAGTTCATGGAATCGCCGCAAACAATTTCCTTTTGAAAGCCACCTTACTTCAGTGTGCAAAAGGAGACGTTCAAACTCCTCATCATTTTCTTCACAAAGCTTGTGAAAAAGTTGGTTGTTCAAGGCATTCGACTTAATTTTATTCACAGCATTAATGACGTAACCTAGAGACTCGTGCAAACGGCCACTCAAATTTTTTGAGACAAGGTGCTGTCTATGAACGACGCAATGGACAGTCATAACTCCAGGTACAACCGATTTTAGATGAGCTTGAAATCCGCAATATCGTCCAACCATGGATGCAGCTCCGTCGATTGCACATGCGACGACGTTTGTCAAAGGGATGTTTTTCTCATTAAAAAACTCTTCAACCTTTTTAAATATCCAAGAACCTTTTGTGTCGGTGGCTAAATTTCGAACAAATAATAGTTCTTCCCCGATCTCTTCATTTCGGTTGATGAAACGGACATAAGCCAATAACAAGGCTTCATTTTCAGAAATCGTTGACTCGTCAATCTGCATCACGAATTCTGTATTTTTTAAGGTGTCAATAAGCCTTTCTTCCACATCAGCAGCCATTTCATCAATTCTTTTTGATACCGTGTCATTGCTCAAAGGAATCGATTGCGTGATAGTGCTTGCGCTGGGCCCCAACATGGTGGCAACAATCTGTTTCACTGCTGGTAAAATCAGAGTTTCTCCGATTGTGTGAGATTTGCCACATTTTGCTATCAACAGTGATACTTCATAGGAACAAATGAGCCCCTTGTCGGCGTTCAGTGACGATTTTCCAAATAACTTCCCAACAGTGCTGCGACCCTCAAACTTGGCCTTTAAAGATTGGAAAAACGAAAAAGTCTCAAAAGTGTCCCCAAAACTTCTTGCTCCATCGCCCCCATATCGCTCCCTTTTCGTTCCATCGCCCCCCTGAAAAACGAAATCCCCCCCGGGGGGCAATATCGCCCAGGTTAAGAACCACTGTGTTAGACAACTCCACTATTCTGGACCCCAAAGGTAACAAAGGTGGTGGGCGAGTGTTCTCAAGCAGCCTTGTTCCACATGCTGATCCTGGCTACTTAAAGGACGGCCTGGCTCCTCTATATCTGCCTGGACCATCAGACATTGCTGGCACATTCCGGGTGTCCCCAATTAAACCATGCCAGCATCTGCCCAGACCTTCTCTGCAGCAGCGCCAGGAATCCAGAATGGGGTTCCCCCTCCCCATACCTGCACAGCCCCCAGGCACCTGGCGTTTTGAAGAGCCTTGAAAGCCCAGTTCTTCCCCCGGGGTCTTTGGCAGGGACCACGGACGCCCCTTCAGTGTCCTGATTTTCCTTTGCCATCATTGTTGTTTTGACTTCTGCTATTTGTGTGTGGGGGGGGGGCTTCAATTGTACTTTGTTTTTAAATGCTTTAACGACTGTAAACCGTCCAGACGCCCTGGGAGTCAGAGGGCATATAAATGTAATCAATTCTTTAGTTTATTTTACTCGGAAGTCTTGGGAATGGATTCTGCTGTTTCGTGTGTGCGTTATTTTTAAATGACTGGGAACCGTCCAGCAATGTCAGTGTTTCTCAACCTTGACCATTTGAAGGCATGTGGACTTCAACTCCCAGAATTCCACAGCCAGCATTGCTGGCTGTGGAATTCTGGGAGTTGAAGTCCACATGCCTTCAAATGGTCAAGGTTGAGAAACACTGGGTTAAAGAAATCCCCAAAGGGGGGAAGAAGCCCCCGAGAGCCCAGTGAGCGCAGTTCTGTTCCCAGCTTAGCAACCGCGAGGCTGCCGGAGGTGGGGAAGGTCTCCCCTGCCTGGAGAGGATCCCCCCCACCCACCCCATCCCACTCCAGCCCCAGGGCTTGCAGCAATCCGAGGAAGGGCGACGGCTCCCTTTCCTGCAAACGCCCGCCTTCGCCTCCTCTCCCTGCCCGGGGCGGCCTTTCCACCCCACCCCAACCCAGCCCGGGCCCCGCACGCGCCGCCCCCGGCGAGATCCGGGCCGCCGGCGTCTCCTCCGCTCGGTACATATATTCCTTCGAAAGTGGCTTGGGCCTCACCCGGCAAGCTTGTGGCGGGGAGTTCCGCAGGCTGCGCTTAAGGAGATCGTGGCTGGCGGGGGGAGGGGGGAATCCCCTAACTGCCTTGCCCGTCCGGCCCTCCCGCTCGCCCGCCCTCTCGGGAGAGGTCGGGAGGGTCGCCCGGACGCCCACCTGCTCCTTCTGCTGCGGGGTCAGAACCGCCGAGTCTGGCACCTCCATCCTCGCACTCCCGGTCGCGGCGCATGCGCGCAACCTTTCGCGCCAAATGCGAAAGAGCGCTCGGACCCGCCTCCCTCGGCGCCGCGCCCAATGGAAACGCGAGATACTGGCGCGCGATGGGCGAGCCCCGGCCATTGGCCGGGGAGGGGGGAGTACGGAAGCCGGCGGGGCCTGGGTGGGCGTTCCCGCGGACGGGCCGTGCCGGGCGCCGCCATGGAGCTGGGCGAGATGCTCTACAACAAGTCCGAGTACATCGAGACGGTGCGCGGGCCGGGCGGGCGGGCGGGCGCGGGGCGGGCTGCCACGTCGCGCGGCCTCGGGGGGGGGGGCGGCCTTGAGGCCGAGCGGTGACCCTGCGGCCCTCCCTGGCAGGCCTCCGGGAACAAGGTGAGCCGGCAGTCGGTGCTGTGCGGGAGCCAGAACATCGTGCTCAACGGCAAGGTGAGGCCCCGCCCGCGAAAACGGGCCGGGGAGGGGAGGCGGAACCGGGGAAGGGTCCGCCCCTCCCTCCCGGGGGGGGGGAGGCAAGGGGGGGGAGGCGGCCGGGGAGTTCAAAGGGCAGAGCCCCTCCCCCACTGGCCCTCTTCGCCCCCCCCCCCGCAGACCATCGTCATGAACGACTGCATCATCCGCGGGGACCTGGCCAACGTGCGCGTGGGGCGGCACTGCGTGGTGAAGAGCCGGAGCGTCATCCGGCCCCCCTTCAAGAAGTTCAGCAAAGGGTAGGTAATGTGGGAAAGAAATAGAATAACGTGGAATAGAGAAGAATAAAGTAAAGTAATAATAATAATAATGAAAAATCACTAAAAGCAAAAATCATGTGTCTGCAGAATCTCCGAAAAGAAAGCCGTGTTAGCAAAAACTGTATTAACAGTACGTGAATGACCTAATGCAGGGGTAGGCAACCTTGGCTCTTTTATGACTCGTGGACTTCAACTCCCAGAATTCCTGAGCCAGCTGTGCTGGCTCAGGAATTCTGGGAGTTGAAGTCCACGAGTCATAAAAGAGCCAAGGTTGCCTACCCCTGACCTAATGCATATTTAGAAACATTGTATAAAAGTAAAAACGGCCTTCATTGTATTCCCATGAGAAATGGACCTAATCTGAATGTTACACAAAGTAGATTCCATATACAGTGTAAGATTCCATCTATGCTTCCTTTGTTCCTGAGAAAAAGAAACCTATAAAGCTTTAGTTCAGACCCTCCCCTTTGTTCAGAAATTTGCTGATTGTTAAATCACTTCTGAACCTTTTTGCGCAAAAATAAAGATCTCTCTTTCACCCATGGAATTTCGTAAAAGCCCTTTATTTTTTAAGGCTTTATTTTTCCACAAGATAGGAGCCCCTCGCCGCCTGGCCCTCCGCCAAAGGCCGGGCTGAAGGAGAACGTTCGCTTCGCTCCGAGCGTTGCTTTCCCGAAACGGGGAAGGGGCTGCTCCCCTCGCAGGGAGGGCAGGTGGACCCGGGCGGTCCCGGTGGGAGGACCCGCCGCGGCTCAGCCTCCCGAGGAAGCAGCGCTGCTGAGACGGGCATTCTCTCAGAAGGAACTTTTATTGGGGGGGAGGACAGCAGGGATGGCAAGGCAAGGTCTGGGGGAAACCCTGCGCAAATAGCATATTAAAAGCAATCTTTATTACTCTTCCCCCCCCCAGAGTCGCAGTGTCCTTTTGAAGTCCAGCCAGTCCACAGGCAGCCTAGGGCAGTGATGGCGAAGCTTTTAGAGACTGAGTGCCCAAACTGCAACCCCAAACCCATTTATGTATTGCTGGGTGGGCGTGGCTCATTGGGTGGGCGTGGCCCATTGGGTGGGCATGGTAAAGGCAGATTGGGTGGGACTAAAAAGTTCAATCAATTCCAACTTTGCGAGATCTCCCCCCCCCAGCAAAAAGTTGATTGATTGATTGAACCTTTTTTTTTTTTTTTTGCACATGGCGGCAGAGGCCTAAAGCAAAAAGGTTTTATAAAACCCAGCTGAAGGCCTAGAACTGGGGCGACGCCACGCGTGCCCGCAGAGAAGGTTCTGAGTGCTGCCTCTGGCACACGTGCCATAGGTTTGCCACAACGAGCCTAGGGTTTTGGTAACTGGCTCCATTGGCGCTCTCTTCAGCTTCTGGATCTAAGCACCAACTGTCACCCAGATAAGGGAGATGCATTCCTTCTCCTGGGGAAGGGCACAGCAGCAAGACAGTGTAAGGCAGGCATGTCAAACCCCTGACATCGTGTGACATATCACGACTTTTTCCCCATTGCCGGCAATGGGGTGGGCGCATTTTCAGCATGTCGCATCCGGCCCACGGGCTGGTAGTTTGACATGCCTGGTGTAAGGCATCCCAGAGCATCCCCCTTCCCAACAGAATGGCAGGCCCCAAAGAATGGTTACCAAGCCTGGCAAAGCATAGGAAGCGAAAAGAATACATTTCTTTGGGGATCCTGACACATAGAACGGATCCCACTTGATCAAAAGTGTCCACGAAAGAGACTGAAAACAAGATTTATCGGCAACATCAGCAAATATCGTGGGCCCAGTTGGCAAAAGAAAGCTAAGGACCATATTGGTTGGAAACCTGCGCAAGAGGCCTCCATCCTGCAGTGGATGGACAATGGCTAAGATGTGTGTGTGTGTGTGTGTGTGTATGTGTGTGTGTGTGTGCGTGTGTGTGTATATACATATATACATACATATACACATGCATGCATATACATACACACATATGTATATGTGCTGTATATATTTAACACATGTTATATATGAATATAACTTTTATTGGCCTCCCTACACTAGGGCAGTGTTTCTCAACCATGGCAATTTTAAAATGTGTGGATTTCAACTCCCAGAATTCCCCAGCTTGCTGTACCACCCATCTCTTTTTGCTCTTGGCTCTCACTGAGGAGGGAAGGGTGGGTGAACAGAAAGGAATCCTCAAGATCTCTGCTGGTTGTTGGCCTCAGTCAGGGGGCTGGGGGGGGGCTTGGGATTCTTGCATTCTGTCCCCTCACCAGAGCGGCAGAACCTGCAGCCAGGTGCACGCCGTGTCGCTTGGTTTTGTTCGGCCTGAGCAAGGAAGGAATGCTGGTGATGAAGCTCCATTTTTCTTTTCTGCAGGGTTGCCTTCTTTCCTCTGCACATCGGGGATCATGTCTTCATTGAGGAGGATTGTGTCGTCAATGCGGCTCAGATTGGCTCTTATGTCCACATAGGCAAGAACTGCGTCATTGTAAGTGCGCGTACCTGCTCGGCTTCAGATGAAGAGGGACTTTGGCTCAAATCTACCTTCACCTGTAGCTCTGGGAGCTTGGATGTGGACCCTAAGTGGGCCTCACAAGAAAGAGTCAAACACATTCATTCAGATTAAGGGGCGATGGGATTGATCTGTTGTTCGGTGATCTCAAATTCTTTGAGAAGCTTTCTTGGTGTGCTTGTTCCTTTTATGCATGAAGGTGACAAGTCCCAGCTGGGAGGGCTGCCCATTAAGTAGCTAGAAGGTTTTGCAACAGGAAAAAGCAGCCACCATAAAGAATAATGTCCCCTGGCTCTGTGGACTGTAAGAACGAACGAGATGAACCACTCCAGATCAATCTCCGAGAAGGCGCCTTACGTGACAGTCAGCTAAGTTGCAGCAGTGTTTTTACCAAGGTGCCATTTGCCCATCCAACACGACTGAAAGTTATCCAGATAGGACAGAAGTCTCCAAACTTGGCAACTTTAAAATGTGTGGACTTCAACTCCCAGAATTCCCCAGCCAGCCTTGATGGTTGAGGAATTCTGGGTGTTGAAGTCCACATGTCTTAAAGTTACCAAGTTTGGAGACCCCTGAGTTAGGACATCTTTCTTTTTGGGCTTAAAGCCTGTTGGGGTCTCTAGGGAGTCTGAGCAAAATGCTACCAGTAAGTAAAGGTGAGGAGCCAGTACTTCTTACCCTGCAAATGACTGCTTGCTTATCCATTTCGGGTTAAAAATCCACTTTCAAGTCATTTGGGGGTGGGGGGAGGGAGAAAAAGATTATCACCAGACAGCCTTCGTGATCAGAACAATGTTTTCATGGCCAAATCAAACAACACATTTTTATTGAGAATTAATTCTGAGCAGCATGAAGCATGTTCAAGGGAGGGGAGGGCCATATTTGATGTCCTTAGCTAAGCAAGCTGGTTCCTCTATGCGGGCAGCAATTGCAACACTTGTTTACTTGCTTTACGGCCCAACACAGGCTCATGTGTGACTGGGTATCCTGGCTTCACCTCTCAGGCTTAAAAGCACAACAAAGTCAGGGGCTGTTTTGTAGTTACAGTGTCTTTGGAGCAGTGGTTCTCAACGTTTGTGTGACGGCGACCCCCGTCACACAAACGTGCTGTGCATGCGCGGCGCGGTGCACATGTGCGTTGCCGCCCCCATGCGCAGCGCGGATGCGTGGCGGCGCCCCCACGCACGGCACACATGCGCGGCGGCACCCCCACGCGCAGCGTGCATGTGCGGCGGCGCCCCACGTGCAGCGCGCATGCGCGACGCCACCCCCACGCGCAGCGCGCATGCGCGACGCCACCCCTGAGGGGGGGAAATGGCGGATCGCCTTCTTTGGCGACCCCCGTAAAATGGTCAATCGACCCCAAATGGGGTTGCGACCCATAGGTTGAGAACCGCTGCTTTGGAGACTTTTCAGAGGCTCTGTTGGGTGGCCTTGAGCAGGGGTCCCCCAATACCTGGTACGTGGATTGGCCCTGGTCTACAGCATGCCAGAAACCGGTCTGCACAAGCAAGCGAAGCCCCATCCATGGGATGCAGGCAGCATGTGAAACCACACCCCCTCCAGTCCGAGGAAAAACCTCTTTCCGTGGAACCAGTCCCTGGTGCCCAAAAGATTGGGGGGGGGGGGCTGGCCTAGAGCTTCTTCCAAACTCATTTCTACTTTGCTTCCCCCCATTTCTTGGGGATCAGCCCCGACGCTTTCACCATTGTGGGGTTATGGCAGCAACCCCTGAAGCAAGATGATGTGGGGGACTCCTGGGCTTCAGGCCATCTTGGCTACCCTCCAGGTAGTTCAGATTCCTGGCACGTAGATGACATTACGGAGACCATCTAAAGCCCCGTTTCTCCAGCTTAGCAACTTTAAGATGTGTGAATGTCTCATTTCTAGCCAGCATGGGATTTCTGGGAATTGAAATCTGCTTATCTTGCTAAGCTTGAGGGATCCTCAGGAACCCAAGGCTGGCTCCATCCCTTTGCCCAAGAGGCTCCACCAGATGACGTCTTCATTTCCGGGTGTCCTTTTAGGGTCGCAGGTGCGTCCTGAAAGACTGCTGCAGAATCCTTGACAACACAGTGTTGCCCCCGGAAACAGTGGTCCCACCTTTTACCGTTTTCTCTGGCTGCCCAGGTAAGCTGGAAGGGGCAGGGTACTGGTGGGGGGGGGGCAGGAGAGCCAGCGAGTTGCTCATGTTCCTTTCCTGTCCAGGGCTCTTCTCGGGGGAGCTGCCCGAGTGCACGCAGGAGCTGATGATGGATGTCACCAAGAGCTACTACCAGAAATTCCTGCCCCTCACCCAGATTTGAGAAGCTCCTCCTCTCGGGGGAGGGAGGGTTTAGGACTGGCATGGCCAATGGGCACCCTGCAGGCAGCTGACTCCAGAGCTGACCAGCTTCCCAATCAGGCCACCTTCCTTGTTGGTGACGTCCTCCCTCCTGGATTGATCAGACGTTCTGGTTTCCTCTGGATGGTTGGACGAGGCGAGCCTTGATCTGGCTCCCTGCAATGTACTCCATGATGATTTAACTCTACATCCACTTTGTTCTGTTGAGCAGCAGAGTGAAGCACTCCGTGCTTTGTGGGGTGGGTGGGTGGGTGGGATTCATCTAGGATGCTGCCGCTCTTGTTCTTGCTGGTCCTTCCCACTTGATCCCAATCCTCCCTTGAGGGGGTCCTGACTCCCCTCCTTGCTGTCCTTCATTTTTTCTTAGCTCCTCAGAGCTTTCTGGGGTGCTGTCAAACCCTCTCTTTGGCCGCCCGTTGTGGAAGCGGCTGCAGCCCACATCCAGAGCTCTGGGGGCTGTTAATCAAAGTGGATCTTCTCTGATTCTTCGTGGGGTCCAGGGATGACCTGCGCTGGCAGGGCTGGGATCGGGCCCCTTTCCAAGGGACATCCGTTGCGCCCTCCAACCGATGGTCACCTTGGAGAAACGGCCAAAGGAAAGGACCGCATGGGTCACTTGGTGGGGCAGTTGGGGGGAGATTAGCTACTAAGGGAGAGGGCAAAAGCTGCTGCCAGGCAAATGGGGGCTGCAAATGGTCTCTGGGGAGGTGCAGCCCCTCCCTTGCCCTGCCCTCTCCTCTGAGCTCTTCCCAGGGCTCTGCTTCATTCCCCCTCCCCTTTCCCCATAGGCAAAGCAGCCTGGTTTGGCTGTCTTCCTTCCTTGCCTTCTTGTGCTGCCACTTCCTGCATGTTCGACTTCAGCTTAAATTGTTCCAGGTCATGTGTGTGTGTGCACACTCGCACCCGTTTGTGTTTCTGTGTTCTTGGTCTGTGAACCTCCATTATGTATTAAAAGTTTTGCTATGTGGGATTTATTTTGTTCCTCTAACAGCCCACCGGAACCAGTGACTCTGGGTGGCATATATCATGAAGCATAAAAACAAATGGAAAGCCAGACAAAATAAATGTATGTGGTTGCCAAATAGAGCTATGGCCATGGATGTTAATATAGCCAAGGGGCCCTTAACACACCTGGGGACCCAGGCACAGAACCAAGGCCTCGCAGACTCCTGAAAGGGCTGGGCTCATTCTGATCTCGAGGGAGAATGTTCCAGGGGGCTTTGGCGGTTCCCTGGCCCCCACCAGCCGACATTCCTTGGGCAACAGCCCACAACATCCCGAACCTGACAGACTGAATTGGATTGGTGGAAAAAACAGAGAGGATGTTCCCTCAGCTAACCTGGCCCCAAGCCATGAATGCCTTTAAAGGTGTGGGATCCTTGGTGTTCTCTGAGCTTGGTTGTCTTCTTGGAGACGTTTCATTACCAAGTCAGGTAATATCATCAGTGCTTGTTTGGTAATAAAACATCGACAGCTGCCATGCAACCCACCTTCACAACTTCCCTCCAAAAGGAGATTTTGGAGTGGATGAAAGCGATCCAGACTTGTTGGGCCGAGTGATGGCCCCTTCAGAAGAGGCACATCAGTGCCTCCTTGAGAACGATGGGATCACCCCCTCCCTCTAGGAATTATTAGTCATAACCCAGACCTGATCATGCGCCCTTCCTGGGCAACCTTACGCAGCCAGGAGGGACATGTATCAACAGGTAGTCGAAGTAGCAGTTGCAAGAGCCCTGTCCACTTCCTCAGAGTTCCTCAAGATCACTTTGGTAGACAGGGATCTAGCGTCAGACCCAAACTCCAATAACACAGTGTGATCCAGTTCAGATCTTTATTTGCTTTTATACCTGAAGGACAGACTCTTGCCAAGCTAAAGTTCTAACCTTCTAGTCCAGGCTCTCCAAACTTGGTAACTTTAAGACTTGTGAATGCACGGCTAGCTGAGGAATTCTGAGTTGAAGTCCACAAGTTTTAAAGTTGCCAAGTTTGGAAAGAACTGTTCTAGCCTAACAGACATATCCCAAGAGATTCTAGGGCAGTGTTTCTCAATCTTGACAATTTTAAGGCATGTGGACTTCAACTCCCGGACTTCCATGCTGGCTGTGGAATTCTGGGAGTTGAAGTCCACATGCCTTAAAATTGTCAAGGTTGAGAAACACTGGTCTAGGGTATGACTGCCTGAAATCTTTTCCTCCCACCACCATCTGGTTCAGGACTCTTGTCCTTGGCCCTCTCTGGACTCTGCTGCCTCCTCCTTGGGCAGTGCTGTGCTACTGCAGACATTCCCTCCTCCCCCTTCTTTGGCTGCACATGCCGCCACATCTACTTCAATGAGTGTGTGATTTGGAAGAAGCACTTTGGACCTTGTGCTGCTCTTCCGTAGCTGTCCGGAGCTCTTGTGGGCGATCCCAGTCCCTTCCTGGTCTGGAGAGGAATTGCAGAGTTGTCCATTTACGGGCTCTTTATTTTGCTGTGGTCATCGGCTCTGCTCTCAGCACAGCCGTCTTCAGTTCTCCTTAGTTGCCTGGAAGTCTTCTCAACTAACCTGGAGGTGTCACAGGGCAGCATCTCCCCAGACTGGTCAATGGTTCTGGGAATGTGGATGCTTCCTTGGCCACAACCATCTGTTCTTTCTATTTGTTAATGAACACTAATAGTACTTTTATTATTATAAGACAGGGGGCCCTTTTATGACTTGTGGACTTCAACTCCCAGCGTGCCTGGCTGAGGAATTCTGGGAAGTCCACAAGTCATAAAAGGGCCAAGTTTGAAGACCCCTGTTGTCCATTAAGGTTTCTGCCCTAGATTTCATTTATCTGATAGCTGTCTTGGTTGTGCTTTTCTTCCTATTCAAGGATATTCCTACTGCTCATTACACAACCTCCCCACACAACTCAAGGTTTCTTGCTAGCTTCAGTAAAACATATTATGTTCATACACATATGTCCAGGGTTTCTGGAACTCTGAAAATTTGAAGCCAATCCCTTATGTCCAAGGTGGCTGGGAAAATTTCTTTCAGATAATTATTCTAAGTACAGGTAGTCCTTACAACAGTTTGTTTAGTGACCGTTTGAAGTTACAACAGCACCCATGGTCATGTGATTCACACTTGGATGCTTGGCAACTGGTTCATATTTATGACGGGGTCGTGTGATCAATTAGTAACATGGTTGTGTTACTAATTAAGCAACTGCAGCGATTCACTTAACTGTGGCAAGAAAAGTCGTGAAATGGGACAAAACAAATGTCTCATTTAGCAACAAATTCTAGGCACAATTGTGGTCATAAGCTGAGGACTACCTATACAGAAGTCAGGAAACAGCTGAATAGGTATTGCTACTTACCTGTTGTCCTACCTACCCTTGTTACAATACAAGCCCATGCACAAACACGTTTAAGTCTTGAAGTTTGAAAGGAGTTTGTGCTAGATCTAAAACGGGCTGAAAGATGACTTAGCACCCCAAGGGAGAAGATGCTTCAGCCATTCCCAGTGGGCAAATACCAGAGAACTTCCTAGAGGAGATTCTTAATGCACTTCCTAAACCATCTAATCGTTTTCAACCAGGGAGGGGGGTAAATATAGGAATCCTTTTTTAAAAAATGTTTTTTTCCTCTTTTGGGAGACAGGAGAGAAGGCATCTAGACTGCCAAAATAATTAGTCCAATTTTTTATTCCTGATCAGGAATAAATTGGAAGGTTGGGGAGAATTTGCAGCCTTTGGATCCCAACCTCTCCTTTGGTGAGCTCACCTTTCTTTTTGCAGTCTTCCAGCATCAGAAAGAGGCAGTTAGACTGGTGAAGAAACAATAAGGAAATTGGACCCAGGGATGCTTTTTCAAAAGGCAACTGAACTTTGTTTTTCCTTGAAAAAGTTTTGCTTCTCATCTAAGAAGCTTCTTCAAAAAAAAAACAAAAAAAACAAAGTCCAGTTGCCTTTTGAAAATGCATTTTTGAGGCAACCATGACCTGGATGATTGAGAATCTCCAGACACACTCGAATTCATGACTTTGCTTAATAACTGTCTATGGAGATTCCCAATCATCCAGGTCATGGTTGTCCCAAAGGTGCTTTTCAAAAGGCAACTGGACTTTCTTTTTTCCTTGAAAATGTTTTACTTCCTACCCAAGAAGCTTCTTCAGTTCTGGATGAGAGGCAAAACGTTTTCAAGGAAAAAAATGAAGTCCAGTTACCTCATGAAAAGCATTTTTGGGTCATTAAGTCGAGGACGACCTGTAGATTTGATGTGTTGGAGAGGTTTAGTTGGTTTGTGTACTATCCTGATGCTGTGTGGTTGTAGTAGCATGTGGATTGTTGCAGATACTGGACCCATAATTTGGTTGTTCATGTGGAGACTACTACAGTTTCTAGAGGCTGCATCACGGTCTCCACCATGAGTCTTGAGAGTAGGCATCTCATGGATGCTTCTCTAACTTCTTCTTCTATTGCAATTCTTTGGGTTTTTGTATGGATTGTGTTCTGTCTATGATACCTGTGGTTTGGCCTTTGTTTTGGGGTGGGGTGGGGATATTTGGGCCCTAATTTGGGTTAATTTTAATTAATTAAAATTGACTTTGGGATGAACAACAGTGGTGGAGCTTTTGGAACATAAAGGAGCTCACTGGCTGATGAGATATACTGTAGAGGTCACCAACCTTTCTTGGCGGACTGGAGGGAAAGGGAGGGGTAACACACATGAACGTACGCAACACAAACAGACCCACATGATACTCACCCACATGATACTCACTAGCCCTACCTCGTTCTTGCATGGTGCGGTGCTCTGTTTTTGCGGCCCCAGGCACAATGTCCTGTTTTCACACCCTGTGGCGCAGCGTCCTGTTTTTGCGCTCCACTGCGCTAGTGAGAGGGAGTGTGTGCATGCACACATGTGCACACTGGCCAGCCTGTCCCACGGCCTGGTGGCCACTAGGCCATGGCCCGGTAATGGGCTGTGGCCCACAGGTTGGGGAGCCCTGCTGTAGAACATAGAATAATAGAGCCCCCCTCCCAGTTTCTCACGTGGCCCCAGCTTGGTTTAAAAAGACAGAGAGAGAGACTTTCATGGAGCAGTCTATTGTCTTTTAATATGACCTTGTCAAGCTAATTCACCGGTATAAAAGAAAATACTTTCTCTGCAAATTTAGCACAAAGCACCCTTGCTTCTTACATTCTCGCTACTCAGAAACCCTTTTCAAGCTGTTGGGTAAACTGCGTTGCTGGGTAGAATTTCAG